ATTGTATATGAATTTCCTTAGAATTTATATTTTTCTAAAAGCTTCATTATATATTTTATCATCAAAAGAAAAGTATTTTAAGACGAGAGAAAGACAGGTACATGGTTGATAATGAAGGTGATAATGACATTTAATCCGGTAGATTAACTGAGAATGATAGTTAATTCTTTAGAACTATGCTTCTCTTTTATCACAGATAAAATTTACTATATACTATCAATAAATCAATTCGATAGTTTAAATAAATCGAAATAACAAAATTTTTCGAAAAATTAATCCCGATAGTTTTTCTCTTTGATTATTAATGAATGTTAAACTGTTTTCATCACAACCATAACAATGAAAAAGAAAGAATCTACTTTCTATAAATTTATAGTGTAAAAGAAAAGTCACCACTAAATCGTTATTTTGAAATATTAAAAGTAAAACTAAGCTCATACACGACTGAAGTATACATAATACATATGAAAAACAAAAAAAGAATACTCAACCATATTATTATCGTTATTCGTATAGATTACTACTAAATATATGAGCTTAATATCGTTACTACAGTTTAAATATGACAAAAGACTAATTTGATACACATTTTTTATATCTAAGTTGTTTACACATCCTATATAAATTTATTTTTCTCAACAATTAAATAGAAAAATCTAAGGACTTACGCCTAGGTCATATCAAAATCCATGTGTTACCTTAATATCAAAGTTAAACAAGAATACTTTTAAGAAATAATGACTATAAATCATATGTAGATTATCAAAAGATTTATTTAACGAAATAAATATTTCTAAGAAAAAAAAAATGCATTGATGAGATCATCTTCTAATGAATTTATTTGTGACTCAATAACTAATGTTGATATTAATAAAGAAAGAAATGATTTGCATGCTTAAATCACAAGCATAACTTCGTTTCTTTTTATTTATCTTTTTTTGCAATAAACTTACCTTTCGTAAAATATTAAATTTAAATATTGATTCAAAACTTGTCAAGATAGTCAAATGAATTGTCAACTCTTAGATAACAAATAATGAGCTTTTTCTACCTAATAATTCTAATACAAAACTTCTTGTTAAATTCTTTTTTCAATGAATTAAAAAAAAAAAAAAAAAGAAAGAATCGCATTTTTTTTCTAAGTGTAAGATAAAACAACGTTACTGTTAACGAATCTAAATCATAGTAAAAAAGAAAGAACAAAAGAAACATATATTTGACATACTTCGATCTGTGTTTTTTTTTATAACTTTCAGCAAATGACAAACTGCTAAAAGATATATCTGCTTTTGTCAGTTACTAAAAAAAAAAAGAATATAAATAGGTTACCAAAGATTGAAAGACTTTTTTTGCGTATATTATATACAACCTTTCTTTATTATCACGCTAAATATATTATAGTCTATTAGTGCAATTTTTATAATTAAATGCAAAGTGTTTTATTAATATTGATTCATGTTTTATTCTTCTTATAAAATATACATATATATATATATATTTCTTTTCAATGAATAATTTACACATAAAAGAAATTTATGCATTGGAATAGAAGAGAATCAAAATTAATTTTTCATGATTATTCAAACTAATCAAAAGTCTCAAATTCATATTCTATGATTAATATAAAGACTACTTTTTTTCTAGGAATATTATGAGTCATAGAATTTTCTTTTGAATATTCATTATCATATAATAAAGATTATTTTTGAATACTTGTTTTTTCTTTAATTCTATGAAACAAAAAACAGACAAACTAGACTATTGAAAAGATTGAATAATTAAAAACGTATTTTCCTATGTCACATAAATAAGTTGGTTTTTTTATACTCCATAAACTATGCATCGACTTAGGTCGTACCAAAAGTAGTATCGAAAATACATTAATTTCGTATAGAAAACTTGAAGAAACTTTCTTTTTCTATATACTCATAGTAAATACAATATTCTATTTTTTGTGATATACTTAAACTAATATCATAATATTAAAATCTCGACAAAGAACTGTGGATTTCACTGTTGAAAAGAAGAGATGAAGATCAATCGTATCGTATATTATAGGGCTTTTCTACTAGTTTTTTAAAGCTTTCCAATCAACTTTTTCGAAAACACTTGTACTCCATGGATGGTTGACAGTGAGTTTTCATATATCAAGTCTGCATTCGAATTATTAACTGAAAATCTACAAACGATTCATATTTTATCATTAAGCAGTTATAGGTATTCCAGTCGATACTCTAGGTCGATTGCGTAGTAAATATTCTGAAAACATCACTTTTTGCTTTTCCTGTTTCTTAATGAAAGAAAAAAAAAACATTTTTTCTAATATTTAGAAAACTAATTGAAAAAATTTTATGTATTTTCATCTTTTCTTTTCAACAGTGAAATTCACATTTCTCTATCTTGTTTCTGTCAAAAGTTATTCAAAAAAAAAATACTCATCAACCTTTTTCTGACATAAGTATTCATGTTATTATCACATATCATGACAAATAATTCTTTGTCAAAATTTTATTATAATGATATTAGTTGAAGTATAATGAAATATCATAAAAGAACAGAGCATTGTTTTTCACTATCTATACATAGAGCAAGAGAGTTTCCTTGTGGAACTAACAATATACATATGATTTTAGTCACGAAACTATTTTGAATAATCTCGTTTGACATAATCATATGTGGAGAGAGGTCATGATAATTTTTCGCAATGAAAGGAACTAAAAATTTGACAGGTAGGTTTGATTGACAGAAAGTGAATGAGACAAGCTACCTTCTCTAAAACTTGTCAGACAATTTTCCGACAGCTGCTTGAAATTTTCGCAGACACGCGATAAAAAAATCTGAAAGGTCTAAATCACTCTAGTTTCTCCTACATCGAGACTTATGTATATATACTCTTTATTCTATCTATAAAAAAATGAAATGCTTATTGTTTTTTTTTTTTGTCTTATTTAACATTTTTCTAGTTACGCTACTATGTTATTGGATGATTGATCTAACAGATCAAAAAATATTTAACTACTGCTTACTTCTTCCAACGATTACTATATCTATATCTGAATGAGCTAGGAAAAACTAAAAGTACTTAGTAAGAAACATGAATGAGAAGAAAAAATATTGAAAGAAGAGATAGTCTGAAAATGAAGAAGATAATACGTAGGTGTATTGCGTACATGTTTTTACTACGAGAATAGAACAAAGGAAAGAAAGAACTATTAAATATAAGTGAAATGATACTATAACAACAACACACTCGTATTCTAATTATATATGAAAATTTTCTTCTAAAATATACACTTATTATTTACTCATAGAATAAATCGATATATAAAAATCAAAATATAGTATTAATAATCTAAGAATAAAATTAAAATGAAGAATTCAAATCAAAAAATTTGAATTAACTTATGATAAAAGATGAGAAAAATAAATAATTACATATATATAAAACAACACTAATCTATTTCTATTCATATGTTTGATTATATTTAAAAATATATTGATGGTAATGAAAATTTTTCTTCTAACAATATACCAAAACAAAAAGAAAAAACGAAAGAATAATAGTTTTATAACAATCTTATCAAAAAAGAAAAAGACTAAAATAATATGCTATAGAATTAGAATGATATTTCTTTGATTGAAATATCAAAAATATTTTTTAATATAGTCATTAAATCAAACTAAATGAACTTTTCACCAGCACAACTTCCTGATGTTTGAAATCCGTATAACTCGATGATTTCTTTTTTTTTGTTTTCATTAAACAGAGCATTTCCTTTCGCTTGCATAATTTAAATGCCTATATAACATGTTCTACTTATACACATATATCTTTTAACCTTATCTTACTTATTAACTCGAACTACTTGTTTTTTTGCATACAGATACTCCAAGAAGCATCCGGATACTCATTAGTTTTTTCTTTGTATTTGTGTAATGCGAGTGCAAATAGTAAAATTTCTCATTTAGAATGAAAACAAACATATTCTTCATTCAACATTTGATATCCATCAATTTGAACTCTAATATATATATATATATGAAAATCAAATTTTAGATCATTTATGAAGAAGAGAAAAATAAATTCTTTAACATTATTATACAAATCAATCATAACTATACCACATAATTAATTACGATTGCTGAACATCAAGAATCATTGTATAGTATCATTGAATATGATATTTTTCAATTATAATCAAAAGAAGATTGATGATTTTAATAAAGTTAGGTGTTAGATATATTATGAATAAAAATAGAGTGAGATATTTTTATTCTAAGTAGTAAATAACAATTTTGAAGAATGATATGTAACAAGAAAAATATTTCTTTCTATCTATCTATCTTTTTATAAATCACCATTAGTTCATGGAGTAGCTTTTTTTACCTTGATAGAATTCAAAGATGATAATTATTAGTAGAAAATCTTAATATAGTTAATGATTTATACAAAAAAAAAAAATGAACTTAAAAAATGAGTCGACATGTTCTGTAATAGATTTCAAAATACATTTTATAATTACGATCATTTTCTTTTCCCAAAAGCCTAGACTCATTACCATTCAAATTATATATTATAACAAGACCAATTTAAATATCAAATAAAACTACTTTTGTATGATGCATGACTTTCAAACTTTGCTTTTTTTTGTTTTTTTCTTCTTTTGTTAAGTCATGGAAATGATAATCTTTTCAAATGAATATCGAATATTAAATTAACTGAAAGTTGTACGGTTGAGTGTTTCTTTTTTGTTTTTTACTTAGCTATTTAACGTTATTAGAAACAACTGACGTAATTTCGTAAAGGGTCATGACAAATATTAATAATGGAATGAGTATAGAATAATAAAATATAATTATTTTCATTATTTTATTTTAAATCATCTTGGAATAGTCAATATCAAATGATTTTTTGTAGTTATTTTCTATTATATTTAATGATGTTATATGATGAAACCATAATAATAATAATAATAAGACTACATTTCTTTGAATGATGTTTATCGTTCACGTAATAATGCTTGTTTCTTTCGATCTAAAGAATATATATTATTATCAGAAATATGGGTTCGATCTGATTTCAGTTCAAAGTTTAGATAAAATGAGTAAAAGAACGATCAGTTCAGATCTGAAGACATTTTCAACAGATCCTCAGATGCGAACTAATTGACCTCTAATCAAGAAAAACAAAGAGTTAATAAGAAAATGTTTGCTAACCTCGTTCAAGCCAAGATTTTGAAGGTCTGAGTGGTACCTGTTTAATAAAATATAAGATGAATACAAAAAAATACTAGGCTTAGAGTAGACAATGTATTTACATTATAGCCTGCTCTTCTCAATGCTACAGCCACTGGACAAACCTGAATATATATGTGGGAAAAAAATTACTTATATGTTTTCAGAATTAAATCATACCCAATCGTCTTCATTATTACTCTGTATTTCATCAACAATGGTTTTAGTTATATTAGCATTTGTATGCTTATTATTTATTGTTGTTTTTGGTATAATTTCGAAATTATTTTGAATTAATTTAAATTTTTCATCAAATCTATCTCTTTGTTGTTGTTGTTGTTGTAAATTGACTAGTTCAGTAGCTTGAATAGATTCTTTATGATTGAAAATATTCAAATGATTGTATGTTGTTCCTGATATACTGATGGTTGATGTTAATGGAGTTTCGATAAAAGTACTTGAAGATATTGGAAAATTTTTATTATCTGTTAATATTCGTTGACGAAGTCGTTTAGATGCTGCCATATCGTAATTCGATATTATTAATATATTTATTAAATCAGCAGAACATCGATGATAAACATAACAAAACAATAAGTATTATTGATACAAAAAAAAAGAAAAAGAAAAATAAGATGAATATTCAGTTGCTATGAGAATTCGATCTAATAGTTAATGAAAATGAAATAAAAATAAATATTTCAATTAATTAAAAACAAAATTTATCAAACAAAATATTTCATTTAACAATATAAAGATATATGAAAATTGACTATCGATTGTAATTGTTTCTTTTCATAGTAAGATAATATCAATTCAAGATGATTTATACATCAGATAATGAATAATAATATTCTTAATTATTATCACAACATCGATATATTAAAGAATACTAATAAAAATATTCAAATGAAACAAAAGTATTAGTTTGATTTATCTATTCATCAGTACGAGAAAGATATGATATACTTGCACCCTCTTTCTTATGTTCAATACGAAGTTCATACTTATCAACAATTTGTTGTTTGCTTTGTCCATTCAGTATTGATGAAAAAAAGAAATTCTCTTGATTAAATGGCTAACAAATCTTTTGCTACGACTGCTCTAAGATATGCCTATTTACATGGTTTTGCTAGTTCACCATTAGCTACTAAAGGTGTTCAATTACGTCAATGGTTTCAAGATGAATTGAACATATCACTTGATTTACCTGATCTGAATATACCTAGTTTTCGTAAGCAATGTCTTAGTAAAATGGTTGATCATATCGAAAAAAACATTATTGGTACTAAGATTTATTAACTCAATTTATAATTTTATTTATTGTCTTTTTGTAAAATATAGAATCAAATTCGATTTGGTTTCTTATCGGTAGTTCATTTGGTGGTCTTGTCTCTACACTTGTAACTCAACGACAACCTAAATTAATTCATTCATTACTTCTTCTTGCACCTGCATTTAATCCTATTCAACGATGGACATCAAAAGTTAATATAGAACAATGGAAAAATAATGGATTTATGAATCATTTTAATCCAATGACACAATGTGATGAACCAATTGATTATGAATTTTTTCATGATCTTCAAACATATGCATCATATCCTATTGTAACAACTTGTCCTATAACAATTATTCATGGTCTACATGATGATGTTGTACCTATTGAAACAAGTCGTGAATATATGCAAAAACTTTGTTTATTAAATAAACATCCAATATTAATGATTGAAGTAGATGATGATCATCATTTAAGAAAGAAAGAAACATTAGATATTATTAAAAAAATTATTCTTGATTATCATAAATAGATGTGTTTTTGTTTTCCATTAATTTGATAAAATTTTAATACTAAAAAATAAATCTATAATAGTTATCAATATCTTTTTTCATTATCGAAATACATTAAATACAATTTATATAAAAAAAAAAAAAAACAATCAATATTACATGAATAAATCATTATCCAAATAACAATTATACTCTAGACAAATATTCGATAGATTTATTTTGAATACAAACAAACTGAAGTTAACTCAGTTCACAATCATTGACATTTTCTAGGTCAATTTCTTTCAATCTCATTCTTTTCTTTTTTAAGTTGTATAAATTTCAAGTGCTTCTATTTATCGGATGCATTAAAAAAAACAAAGCAAACATTTACACTGTCTAATATTTCTTTTTTTTTTTTAAAATCAATTCTTAAACGACGTAAAATACACTTATAATACTTGATATGAATAAAAATTATATTATAATTTATTTATTATAAAATTTCTGATCAAATTTTATCAAGTTATAAAACATTCTTTGATTTGCACTTACTAAGTTTTTAATTAATAAAACAAAAAATGTTTCTATAACACATTTGTCAAAAATAAAACAAAAAACATTCGAGTATTATCAAACTAATTAAACAGGTAATATTCGAGATGTAGTCGAAGTTGAAAACTTTGGCCACCAACGAAAATTAGATAAACTATTTATATAAGATGCAATTTTAGTATTAAATGCTGTTTGATTTCGACTATAAACATTAAGATAAATACCAATAACAACAATTAAACCAGACCAAACATAACTAATAAAAGAAAAATTGAACATATGAAAAAATTCATTTAATTATTAAAAAAAAACTTCTAGATACTCGAAAACAAATGGTTTTGAAAAGAGTATAAATGATAATATAATTGTTATTGCTTTTCGACATGTTGTAACAGCAACACAGATTAATGCACCATATTCTTTTATTAAAGTTAAAACAATATCTATACCCAAATAACCAAATATAGAAAATAATAAACTATAACCATAAGTTGAAATTGGATGCTAAAGAAAAAAATTCATTATAATTATTCAATATTGAATTAAAATATAACGAAATAAATTAAGATATTAATCTATCAATCAACTATTAAATTAGATTATATCAATTGATAAATATTCGTTCATTTCTACATAATGTTCAATGAGTTTCAGTAAAATACATCAGAACTAATCATTCGATGCATGTTACTTCAGCAATATTTTTTTGTTTCCTTCAAACTTCATTTATTCACAGTAGAAATGTACAGGATAAGTTTTTCTCTTTGTACCTTGACTGACAAAAAATTTTTTTTATCTTAGCTGAAAGATTGTAAAGTATGTGGATATGAGTGAGGCTGAAGATCTTCTTTTATTCCATATTCATGAACAATTAAATGAATTTTTTCACTTTATAAGATATTATGTTTTTTTGATAAATTATATATTGAATAAATGATTCATATAAACCAAGTAAATTCAACTAAAATTCTCTTATTGAATTTCTTTTTTTTTTTTTTTGATAATTTATTTAATATATTTATTTATAAATGAATACAAAATTTATTGTTATTCAATATACTAATTCAAGTAAATCAGTAAAAGATAACATCCTAGGACGAGGTTTACAGAGTCCATATACTCAGAGAACCGATCCGTGCATTGTCGTTTTCGATCGTATACGGCCGTACTACATGACTCAGTATTACGATTGTATATCGTTGTAACCGTATACGATAAAGTACGGAAACTGTAAACGACCGTATTTTTCTCCGTATACGGTCATTTACGATCGTACTTCTTCAATCTGGGATGGTAAACAACAGAAGAAAAAGAAACTAAACAGAAGATCTATATTATTTTCTATCGAACTAGTCTAATTCTATAGTATAATGAGTGACTTTTATCGCCCAAAATAGAATAACCACACCCAAATTGATGTAGCTAAAAATGATCATTCTGCATGTTGTTGATTACAGAGATTTTTCCTTAATTGGAAGAAAAAAGATGTTCGCAAAATAGAATCGGGAGGAAAAAGAAAAAAACATGTCTGCATTATGAAAACAAGCAAAAATAGATTTACTATGATTATCATTATAGATAGCTCGATTTGACAGAAATTAATAGAGTTTTTTTTTGTAATATTATTATTCAAGCTGCTTTATTTCCTTCTTCATTTTCGAATTTATTTGATTTCATTAAAATTTGATCAAAAAACTAATAAGCATTTAGAAGGATATTATTTTTGTCAATTACATTCTCATTGTCAAACATATCAAAATATTTGTATCTGGATAAGATATATCTAGATCAATGGTAAATGAAAATATTTTGATTGAAACAAAGCAAAGATATTTGGATGATCATTTGAATCTTAATAGTTATCAAAAAGAAATTGTGTTCTTTTTGTTATTGACATATCAAGGTATTCAATACAAGTGACAAGGACGATCTTGATTTTGAATCTAATAAAAATTAGATACTCAATTATATTTCATTAATGATCGGTTTTTTTCTTACATAATAAATTTTGTCTTGATTCTACAATGCAGTCATTTTGTACTTTTATAACATTGACTAATAAAGCGTTCGGAATCAGAATGTAATCCGTACATCTATATTCTCTTACCATTATTCTACTGTATTCTGTAATACTTCTATCTTTATCATATCCTACTCAACATAGTAGAATAACCCTGGATAACCATAATACGCAGTTAAAACTAATCAAAGATAACTGTCAAGAAATCTTCAAAAAAAAGTCCTTGTTATAAGTGCATTCATTTGTATGCGAGCTAATGTTTCCGACTGAGATTTTTGTTTTTCTAACATTAAACAACTTGAACTCAATATCTATTTGTCAACTTGTATAATAATTCTATAAGAAAATAAATAATATTAAATTAGACAAAATATAAAACCTTATTCCAAAAAACCATGCTTGAAAAGAAATTATTTGTTAATAAGAGACCAATTAAAATAATGAGAAAACCAAACATAAAACTATAAAATACCTAAAAATAATCATAATTAGAATAGTTTGATAAAAATAAACATATATATTTTTTTTTTCTCTTTTAATATTACTATTTCAACATTAGAAACATGATGCATTTTCATAATTTTTTCTTGATAATTACCAATAATAGCATCAGCAATAAGAGCTGAACAAATGACAATTACACCTGAAGAATAATGAGTTCTATCAAATAAAAAAATTTTTTTTTTATGTCTTTCTTCTTATACCGTATGAATTAAAATTTGGTCGAACTTTTGAATCAGCTAAAGTAAAAAAAACTAATCCAATTGACATACAAAAAGCAGCAGCAACATCATAACGATTAAATGTTTTTTCTTAATAAAACAAAAAAGAAAAAAAATATATATGTAATTTATTAGTCTTTTAGATTTATATTAGTTCTTTTTTTTTCTTACTTTGAATAATAATACCACCAATAAGTACCGGTATCAATTTACAACATTTGAACATGACTTGTGTACTAAATGAATATATATATATATATACAAAAGAAATTCAAATATTTTCTTACGGATAATTTAAATAACCGATTGAATGGTTTGATAAACCCATTGTAGCTACAGTAAGTAAAGCAAGAATTAAATAAGATCGATAACTTGCTCTAGAAATAAAAATAATTTCAATTAAAAAGAAAAAATTAATATTTTCAAATACCTTCGTTGATTTAATCCAATAAAACCAATTTGAATAAATGAAAGAACACTATAAATAAAAAATTGATAACATGATAAAAACCAAGAAGTATTTTTAAAACCATCCAATGTAAATAAAAGTTCCTTTTAATAAAGATTTCTATAATAAATTTAATATTTTATATTAATATAACGAACTTGTAAATAACCATAACCTAAATAATAGAAAAAAACTTGTGCAGATAATCCAATAAAACGAATTGGATGTTGAGATGGTAATGATGAATATGATTTTAAAAGAGATACATATGATAGAGAATTAATTTTCTGTTGATGTTCATCAGAACTCATATTATCGATTACAGAGTTATCAATCGTGCTTGTAGTCTCGATCGATGAATGAGACGGTAATGACACTGAATCTAAAGAGACGAATGATACACATGAGTAAATTTTTGTTCTCCCTCTTAAACATGCAAGTATATTCACCTTGATCATATGCTTTATTTATTTCCATTGCTTCACAACATCTCACACTAACAAAAGTCTAAAATAATCATTGATTTAATTGTTTTTCCAATGAATCATTGAAGAGAGAGAAAAAATAAATAAATAAATCATCTGTTTCTTTTTTCACAACTTCATCTTTTTATTTCAATAATAATTTACCATTCTTTTTCTTTTTTTTTTTTCTTTTGCTCTTATACAAAGTGAACCGTAGAAAGAAGAAAGGTGTTATGTACAGGTAATATATATGAAGAACGAAAGAAAGAGAGAAGCACTAGAAACGAAAAAAAAAAAAAACATGCATGTATGCGACGAATTTATAAATTTATGTATCAGCCCTTAGGCTCAGATTCGATAGAAATGCTAAAAAAAATACAGACACACAACAGAAAATAGACGGAGAAAAACGAGCGGCTTTTTTTTTAAATATTTTTCGTTTTTGTTTCGTCGAAGCTGTACAAAACACTGACGTTACACAACACCAAGGAAAAAAAAAAAGAGTCCAAAGAAACTAAATTAAAGGAAAAAAAAATGCATGTTCGTATATACACAAATACACTGGTGTAGAAAAATGTCAATACAAAAAAAAAAAAAAAAAAGCAATATGAACAAATACAAAGATAAATATGGATGTACATATAATATATATATATATAAATAAATATGTATAAAGAAAAAAAAAAAAACACAAAAGAGTGGAATGACACGGTAAATATTATACATACATAGATTATTTTTTTAAAATTTTTTGTTTACTGTAATACTGAGAAAATGCGAGATTTTAAGAAAAAGAAAAAGAAAAGAAATTTGTATTCTACTAATGATTTGAACGTGATGGTTGATGAAGAATAAGTTTTGGTGTACGAGCATAATTTAAACGTTGTCGTTCAATAATTTTGTTCGATGTTTGTTTTGTTGTTTCATCAATATTATTTGTTAAAATTAATTTTGATGATGTTTTAGCTGATCGTCGTCGTCGTTGTTGATGAATACGATGTAAATGACGTTGATGAGCCATAAGTGATGATGTTGATGATTCAAGTGTTGATGTTGATGAATTTGTTGAATGACATAATGATGCATTTAAATTTCGATGATGAATTGAAGATAAATTCGGATGTTGAGATGAATACTAAAAATAAAAGAACAGTTATAAAATCAATAAAATTTTAAATTCAAATCCTACTTGAAGAACAACAGATGATCGATCTTCATCATCATCATCACCACCACCACCACCGTCATGTTTAACTTCTTCAACTTGTTCATCAAGTAGATTATCATTAACAGTTTTTCGATGACGTTTAGAACGTGTTCGCGAAGCAATTTGTTCGTAAACACTCATACCTAAACAATAAAAAACAAAAAAATATACTAGTATAGCTGTCAATCTTATTATTATTTTTCATACTCGCATGTTCAATAAGTAGATTCTCAATTGGATTAAAATGATGTGTAGTTGGTGATGACGATCGATTTATAAATGAAGATTCATCGGTCTTCATTAAAGGTGGCGATGCTATCCAACTATTAGTCATTATACTATTAGAATCATTTGATGAAGTTATTTTTGATACTAAAATTATTGATGAAAGAACGAAAAAAAAACAAAAAATAAAAAAAAAGCATAATCAAAAAATTAAAAGATAAATTTATTCAAAAAAATCCTAACCATTATCTGAAACAAGAACCCAATCATCTTCATCAATCGATAAATCAGATGAATTAACAGATGATAATCGAATATTATTATTATTATTAGATGTTGGTGATCTAGACCATAATGATGTGAGTACTCTATACATATTTTATGACCTTGAATAAAAAAAAAAAATAAGAGAAATGAATTTCAAGAAAAAAAAAACCTAGTACAAGCAAGATGATATAAAATCAAGTTGATGTTGCTGTTGTTGTTGTTGAAGATGTGAGAAAATCAATCATTGTTTTTCTTTTTTTCTAACTCAAAGTACACACACGATATGTTGTCTATGTGCAATGCTGTTGATGAATACGAAGAAAATGTTTGTTCGTTAGCGTTCTTTTTTATTTATTTTTTTTTTGGTGACGATAGTTGGCACAGGGCACGAGAGAGATATGTCAAGCAAGTAAAAAAACGACGAGATTGTCGATCAAATAATTACGCATACAAGAGCGAGTTGGAGAAAAGAAAAAATTGTCAGACTTTTGCTCCCATCATCCTCTATCCCATACGTTGCTCGCATGAGCCTGGATCGTATCACATGGTTGATTGACCTATGTTAGATGAAATCGAACCAATAAAAAAACAAACTTTGTTTTTTTTTTTTTCTCTAGAAATTATTTTTGGACACTTTAGAATTAAACTATTAATAGATCTAAATGAATATTAAAAAACAAAAAAAAAAGAACAATTTATATAAAGTGAAATTTACTGACATCTATTGAAAACGATATTTTTTTTTGTGAATTTATTTCAAAATTTCGTAATTATGAAAAAATAATACGAAAGATTAATTTTTGAAAGATGAATCATTTCTTTTCGATTTCGATTTATAATTTAGTTTGTATTGGATTTCGAAAATAACCAATAAAAATAGAATCAATTCTTTTACTTCTTCTATTTAAATAAAAAAAAAACCTAAAATTTCAAACAAAAAAATGGATCCAGCACAACTTTTAATCACTCAAAATCGTGCATTTCCATCATTAGAATATGTACTTCAAGGTAGTATTCAAGATGATTCTGCTCATTTACTTAAAGCTCGTTTACAAGGATTATGTGATAATATTACTGGTTAGTAGTTATTCTTTTTAATGTCTAATAAAAATTTAATTGAAATTTTTTTTTTTTATTTAGGTGAAGTTGAACAATTTGATGATCATGAAATAGTACATACTCTTCGAATACCTGGTGCATCAAATGTATCATTACGTGTTCGTTATGCACTTGATGATATGCCTAATCCAATATATCATTTACGTTATGTTGCTTCAGCTGAATTAGATAAAAGTCAAAGTGTTAGTGTACGACAATTTCATGATTGTTGTGTAACAAAAAATATTCAATCATTTTTACAAGAACTTGGATTTATGTATGATCATGAATTTTTTGCTAAAGGTGATATTTTTCGAAAAGGAAGAATGAAAATAACAGTGGCAAAAATTTCAACTGTAAATATCATTAAATTTTTTTTTTTTTTTTGACTGATATAAAACTTCATTTTGAAATCAAATAATGAGATAGAATAAAAATAATGTTTGTTGTCAAAGTTGAAATCGATAGGACAGAGACGTTACGCATGCTGTGCAAGGCTTTTTTTTCTTAGCGATCAGTAAATCGACAGAAGTTATTCTTCTTTTTTTTTTTTTGATAGTTATATCTACAATGAGTTCTATTTCACTAGTATAACACATTTCATTAGTTATTTCCATAGGTTTCTTTCTCATTTGATATCTTTCGATGAACAGAAAACTTTATAGAGCTACCAATTTGATATTGCATTTGTCTACTGATACAATGAGCATTATGAATTAATGTTATACTTCATGTTATAAACAGTGTTTCGGTAACTTATTAAAGTCAGCTTTCACAATACTATCACTTAATAGAAAGTCTGATGTATATTCTCTCATAGTAGTAGTCTGTGGTGTCAATAAAAATGTACGATAATTAGACTTTTTTGATCAATGTTTTGAAACAGAAAAAAAAATTAAGACTAGCAGATAACCGAAAAACTTGTTATCGGTCATGTATTTGTCTAAAACATAATAAATTTATTCATTTTACAAATTTTTTTTAGTAATTTTTTCATAACTCGAGACATGAAGCATCAAAAAAAAAAGAACAAAATAGATAACACGCATCTATAAAGATTTTCATCAATAGGTTTGAAGATTGTTACAAAATCTAGAGCAATTCTAAGCAATAGCCAACATTTACCGTATTTAATTCTTATACCAATTGACTCTTCATACTTGATGATCAGTTCATTCAAATTGATTTCATACACATGTTTTATATTCTAACTTTGATAAATTAATTAAATGTTTTTGTTCGGATTAGTTACTTGAACGAAATCGTTCCGATATGAATCCAATGCAAATACGTCGACCATTGACAGCTTCATGTTTTGTTGAAATGTCATTAATTGGTTCAATGCATGATGTAAAATAAAATTTTTATTTTTGTTTTCTCTAATCTGTATTTAATATTTTAGGATAAAGTGGCAGATGAAATGAAAACATTTGCTGAACAACTTAAACCGTAAGTTATTTATATATATATATATATATATATTTGAAAAAAAAAAAGATTCTATTCTTTTCTATTTTTCGTTATAGATTAATTTCTCTTGAAAAAATTGATCAAAAGAGATAATTTTAATTATACAACAAAAAGAAAAAAAAATTTGTTTTTTTCCTTATTATCTGATTATGTATAGAATTAAAAAAAAAAGAAACAAAATTATATATTCTAGATAATATTTATTCAAATGAATTTTTAATTAGTCATGTTTGACTCATTCACATAGAAATTATCTTACTATTCAGATGAAGTCTTGATGATAGAAATGGAGAATTTCGAATTGAAATTAGAACTAATGATTCTGGAAATGAAAGACTTAATTTTAATCCAAAAATAGACGTCTTTGCAAGTGTCCAACCATATATCATCCACAGACATTAGTCATATTTCAAAAAAAAAATTCATCATAAACTGGTTTCTAACTTTATACAGATAAAATAACAATATAACTGCGAAACAAAAAAAAAGCAAAGAAAATTTAATAATAAACACAACTCTCATATCATTCAACATAAATGGGTCATTTATGGTTCATTCTGCATCTTCATAGTGGAATGATTTCGCTCAAATTTAACCATATCTATATCATTGATATAATCTACTTCATTACGAAACTTTGTCTATTTCAAATATACAATGCTTATTTTTCTTCGATCTATAAGTTAACAAAATTCATAAATCGATTTTAATTATGAAATAAATCAACAAATATTGAATTTATTTGATTAGAAAACTATTTTTAATGATTTTTTTGTTTTTGTAATGTAACTGTGATTTTTATTGTAAAAAATTAAACATTAAAAAAATCATATGCAAAAAGAAATTTATTTTATATGCTTCTTTTTTTTATTATTTTAGATTTTTATCATGAGTAATACTGATTCATTTGCCATTGGTAAGTAATCAATAGACATCGGACATATTCAGAGTTGCAATCAGCTGATTTTTACCAATTTAAAAAAATTATCTAACAATGCCAATTCTCTCCTTAGTAAAATGCCTTAGTACTTTTATTAGAAACAAAAATAGCAATATTGTTTTTCTTAATACATGAACTAGATCTCTTCAATGAATACACTGATATTTTGTTTGAGATCAAACTTAAATTAGATTTTTTAATTCACTGTAAAAAAAAAACCGATATGTTCTAATAGAGAACATTATAAATTTTATTTTTTTTTTTTCAGTACATTTTCCTCAAAATCCAAAGATAACAACTGAAGATATAGTTGATATTCAATTTAATGCGACAACAACAAATATAAAAACAGCTGATTTAACATATGAAGGACATGGAATAAAATCATCTGATTTATGTGGTATTCTTGGTTTTGTTGATGATCAAGGTCATATACATCTTTCATCAAATTTTCATTTATATACAATGCGTCCAAAATTAACAGATTTTAATATACAATTAGAACAAAATTTAAATAATGAAGATAATAAACTTAATGTAAGAAAGAAAAAAAAAATTTTTGTTTTTAAATTTTCTATATAAAAGTTTTTCTTTTCTGTCTTTTTAGAGAACTGATCTTGATGAAAAATTTGGTACAGAAAAAAAACGTCGTTCTGTACATTCAAAAAAACGTAATACAATAGAAGTCAATGTTCTTGAAACAGCTGTATCAGCTGCACGTGAACAAGTACTTCAAACAAGTAATGAACAATTAAATGAAACAATAATTAATAATAATATAAGTTCATATAATGATGATGAACAAATGGCAATACCAAAACCAAATTATGATGCACAAAAACCAGAAGATACTTTTATTCTTGATGATAGTTTGTATCAAAAATAGTAGTAGAAATATTCTAATTTCTTATAAAAAGTTTAATGAAATATTCTTTCTCTATATGATCTGATAGTAAAAACAATACACATACATTTCTGTGATATTTGATCATTTTTCAATTAATATTATAATAATTAAGTTTTGATAAGAACTGTTTGTTACGAGAATATCAAATCACATTTTGTCTTCGATGTGTAACTTCTTTATACTATCTTTTTTTGTTTTTTCGAAAAGTGATAGTAATAGAACAAAAAAAGAAATGCAAAAACAAATTCATCAAATTTTTACTTGAGTAATGCTATGAATCTGGTATCTTATGATGTTTGATTATTCGAGTTGATCAAACAAAATCAAATCGTTGCATCGTGCTGCAAACAAGGCCAAAGAAGAGTATAAAAAATGTTTGATAAATAGATTCAACGAATCCAATTAAGTATAAATAATCAGAACGATTATTTTGAATATTTGATGAAACTTGTTTCTGTATTTCCTTTTTGTTCTATAGACGATCCATACTCCTCCAACGCATCCCTAATCGATAATTAAGATAGATTTTTCCATTTTAATTGTATTCAAATTCGATCCTAATTAATGAACAATGAGAATAACAATTTAAGTTGAAAGTATATATAATATTCGGAATCTTGCGAGATGACTATCTATAATATAAATCATTTCTGTTACTTATTTCGCTTATCTTAATTAGTTGGCAAATAAAGATTGAATTAGAGATAGGCCGAGTTTAGAATCAGGTTTTTTTTCAGCGTGGACCGAATTCAGAAAAAATGGGCTAGTTAGCGAGACATTATATAGAATATTATCGTAATAAATAGCACTTGTCGAAATTTTATAATTATTATATAAGTTGAGGAATGATTAAATATCAAAGAAATGCATGATATTGTTTTTATTATTAGATTATACAAAGAGAAAATTTCTCTAAGCTTTTTTTTTATAAAGAATTAAAATATCTTCGGCATTACTTTGAATATATTCTAAATATTTTGTTTTTATTTTTTATTAGTTCTAAATGAAAATGATTTATTATTATTACATGATAAATGTAGTCAAATAGTTGATGCAACTAAAGATGATATACAAAGATGGTCAAAAGAAGGTACTTATACATCATTCGTATGTGATCAAATGAAAAAATTACCTACTAATCATGCTGAACGTGTGAAATATGCATCAAAAGTTCTTTATTTACATTATCTTATTGCTTTTTTTAAACGTTCAATATTTAAACGATTATCTGGAAGTAAATTTTTCTACAAAAAAAAAAAAATTTTTATTAAAATTTAATTTGTTTATATATAGAACCATTTCCTGATGATGCTCCGCGTTCTTTACAGGATAAAGCTTTACGTATTTATGCTATTGCTAATATTAATGAACGTACACGAAAACAAGACAAGTAAGTTAATATAAAATTGATTTTATTGATTTTCAAAAATGAAACTTTCGGATGAATTTTAAAAGTTTGTTTTATAAAAATATAAAATTAGAGCAAGTGTAAAATACAATTCTAACAGATTTTTAATTATAATTGGTTTGAAAATAAATAAGATCTTTATTAATGGATAGCGCATAATAAATGGATTAAAATGTTTTGTTTTTTTTCTTTAGAGCACTTGTTCGATTTTATACTAATTCAAAGGAGAATTTTTTGCACTATAAAACTATGTGATTTTCTCCGAGATGATAATGCTAATAGTCTTGAAAAAGTTGTAGTAGCAAAGAAAAAACAAAATTTTCCATCTATTAATGCTAAATACTTTCCTTCTACATTGATATGAAGAAAAAATCGAGTTCAGTTTAAAATTCTTTGTATCAAAGAATTACCCATATATATAATTTCCTTTGTATAAGCTGTAACTTGAGTAAAAAACTTAATGCTTTTTTTTAAATCTTTGTAAATTTAAAAATTCTAAAGGATAGTTTTGTAATACAAAGTTCTCTGTAGAAAACAAAAAAAGAAAAACTCTATTTTATAGGTAAAACTTTTCTTAATTATAATGTTTTTATTTTAGTACTGTACCACCTCGTCTTCGATTAAAATTAACTGCACATATATGCATTTTATCTTTGTATATCTGTCGTTTTACGGTAGATATCGATAATTTACGTTTATCATTGGGCAGTTCGATAGCAGTATCAAAGTAATAAATCTATATATATGTTTTATCTAACTATTTTGACTTTTTTTTTAGATTACAAGATATATTCACTGAACTTGGTTGTAAAATAATAAAAGTAGCACATACTAATGTTGCAACACTTGAAATACCAATAAATAAACCAAAATTAAAAGATGCATCATCTTTTTCATCAAATAGAAAACGAAAAAGAACAACTTAAACTATTTTGATTTGTTTTGTTGTTTTAGATTTCCTATATATATATATATTTATTTTTTTTAATTAATAAATCATGGTCAATGTCGGTTTAGTTGAAATTATTCTTCGTGAACAAGATAATCCTGGGTATTAAATATATACAGATTTTTGTTTTGTATGATAGAATATAATCTCTTTGGTTTATTTTTGTTAAGTTGTTCAACTACACGACAAATTCGAGATATATATAATAATCGTTCAGGTGAAGATCCAATTATTCAAAATTCTGATCAAGATAAAGAATTTCAATCGATTCTTTTAAAAGCTATTCAAGTAAAACTAATATAAAAGAGATTTTCTAATCAAAAAATATTTTTCTATATATTATCTAGACATTACCTATGGCTGATGATGACAATGATGATGATGATGATGATGACGAAGATAAACCAATATCTTATACAGTAAAACTAAAAGATAGTGATGAAAGTAGTACACCAACAATAAAACGTCGTTCAATAATCAAATTACCAAGTGAGTTAATATATTTTGTATTTTATTTAAAAAAACAAAGAAAAGAAGATTTTGTATTTTCTCATTTTTGAATAAAATAGAAGAAATAAAAGAACAAAGTGAAAGTGATGAAACATCAAGTGATTCAGAAAAACCATCAACAACATCATCAATAACAATAACAAAACCATTTTCACCATTATTTTTAAATAATATGAAAAAATTTGGTGTTACAACTGATTGGCTTGCTAAACGATCAAATCTATTACGTCAATCAACATATTCACGTTCATCAGTTGAATCAAATACAAGTCAACTTGATGCTATGATTAAACGTGCTTCAGCTAAACCAATAAAATCAAATCGAAAATTATCATTTGTTGAAACTACAACACCAACAAAAACAGAAATCGATAAAGAAAATACAGATCCATTGACAGAAATCAATGATACAAAAGAAGAATCAAACGAAATAACAAAAACATCACAAGAACCAACACCTTGTAAGTAAATATATATAGTTTGTTTTTTTTCGAACTACGGAAGAAATGTCTCAAACTATCGGGCACTACACAGTATGAATCCAGACGAATAAACGAAAGTCGTTCCTTCATCGATTCAATTTTATTACAAATTTTAAGTAGAAAGCAGCAATCACAATTTAAAAATTAATCTGGAAACACTAGTATCAATGAGAAAATCAATTTTGAATTACCAGATAGGCACACGTCCAGTAGGTAATTCCAATCGATTCAGCTCATCGTTTATTCTTATATACGAATTGACAAGACTGGAAAAAAATTCAAATGAATTTTCGATTACAGGCAAACGATTAAATAAGGAAAGATTTGATTGGAAATTTTACCATCAGTAGGTTGCCTTATTATTAGATTACTCTAGAAGTTTCACTATAAACAAAAAAGCAAACGATTCCTTCTGGAGATATTGAATAATCAAGAAATTTAGTTCCACACACCTCTAATCAGAATAGAACACCAACTGTTTTGACTATTGAATATGTCGAAGAAAGAATCGTACTTTTGAAATGAAACATTCAAAACAAAGATATCTATTCATAGCAAAATCTCCGAACAAATTTGTTTTATTTAATCGTTTGCCTATGGTTGAAGTTTCAAAACTCAGAAAGAGTAAAGTATTAGTGCAAATCCTTTTAAACTTTCACTAGTCTCACCAAATCATATATATATATATATAGACAAACTATGAGTTCGATTAGCGTTCTACAGTTGCAAATATTTTCTCATAGGACTAATTAAATTCATTTGTTAATATCAAAACGATATATTCAAATTGTTTTTCTTCTCTTGAACATCTCAATATAATAAAATATTTGATTTCTAGATGATTTAAATAGTGATATTGATGAAAATAAAGAAAATGAAAATGAAAATGAAAAAGATGATGATTCTTCACCAACATCAAAAGTATTTTCACTTCGTATTCCACGTGTTAATCTTTCTGATGAAAAAAATAAACGATCAAGTTCAGTATCATCAGATGATGAAACTAAACAAGAAAAAATTAAACCAAAAAAAAAGAGAAAAAGTAAAAAAGAAACAACAACAACAACAACGAATACTAAGAAAAACTCATCACCAAAGCAAGATAAAGATGAACAAACAACAATAAATGATGATACAAAAAATTTATCACAAAAAACAAGTAAAAATGAAAAAGGACAATCACGTATTGAACATTTGAAAAAATTACTTCGAATATCTGGTATTCGATTTATTATTAAAAATACTGAATTAGATGAATTACGATCCAATAAAGCTAGAATTAATTATCTTAAATCACTTTTTGATAAAGCTGGTTTTACTGGTTAGATATTCGAATATGTTATTATTATTATTTCTTTTATTTATTAATATTATTTAATTTAGGTAGTTTAGCAATTAAAGAATGTGAAAAATTTCGTAAGAAACGTGATGCTGAAAAAGAATTACTTGAAATTCAAGCGAATTCTGTGAATGTTAAAGGTTAGTCAATTTTATTTTGACTATTTTATAAGATCTTTTTTGTTTTTGTTTTTATTTATTATTAAAGGACATATAAAAGGTGGTCGAACATTACGAGGAGAAGGTCGAAATACTAATGAATTCGATATGAGCAATAAACGAAAACGAACAGCAAGTAGTGAAATTGAAGATAATGAACAAAAATCTAATAATAATTCTTCTGATAATGAAAGAATAATTATTAAAAAACGACGAATTATGAAAATGGAAGCATCACCTGAAGTTAGTGAAAATGAATAATTGAAACATTTCAAAATAAATAAATAAAACAAAAAAAAAATATATATATATTAAATTACACTTCTCAGGCATAGTCATCATTTATTACGGATGTGTGCCATTCTTTACCATAATAAAGTCAGATATATCTCTATATATTTTTTTGTGCTTATATATATATATATATGTGCATACTCCATATGTATATTAAGATCTATTTTTGTTTGTTTTTCTTTTTGTTGTGTTATGTATATGATATATTGATTAATAAACAAAATTAAAGTTAGTTGAAGATAAAAAAAAAATTAGCGTTCAGAATGAAAAAAAATCTTCGTAATACAATCATTCTACAAACAAAAAAAAGTAACAAAGGATGGTTATAATAATTAATATATAATATCTGATTATTAATCGACTGAAAAAAATATAACCTGTGAATAAGAAATTTTTTTCCTAATAAGTCTGGTCAATTATTAAAGAGAATCAAAAGTAATTAGCCACGATTAAGATATCAGAATTTTTCTTTTTTCGGTTTTCAAGTCAGTTTATTGTAATCAAATTTTTGATGGAGATAAAAAAAGAATGACATCTGTACAATATTTTTCATGTAGTTCAGTTTTATATTTCGATAAAAACTGTTTCTTTTTATACAAAAACTTTTAGACCAAGACTTTGCAATAAAATATCCGATTAAGTTAGAAAAAAAAACTTTAAACATACATTTAGAAAGAGCATCGAATGCTAGTTGTAACTGAATGCTTTTGATTCTCTTCAATGACATCGAAATGTCCGTAAAATGAGCAAATATATTTAACAATGCCTTTTAATTTAGCATGTTGTACAAATGTCGTTCTTGGCTGCCATCAAAGGCTTGTTCTCAAATGAATTGTCTCATAAAGAAAAATAATATAAAGAATAGTGAAAAACTTGAATATTAATGTAAACAACAAATTGATTTAGTATGGAGTATCAAAAGCTATTTTGATTAGAAAATTAATTGGCTTTGATGCAAAGAATTTCGCCATTTTATAAAGTGTAGTTACAGTACATTTTAAAACTACTGCGGAGATCTATGAAACTTTACAAAGATATCACCGGTTCGTATTATATCTTAGGAAAAAAACAATTTAGGACGTTCAAACGAATAAAATACTTGGTTTTTTTTCAATCTAGTGTGATCTGTAATTGATCTGCTATGCAATAATACGAATTTTCTCTTTAGACCGAGATAAGAATTGTTAGAAAAAAAAACACAATTGAAGAGCTAACTATGTGTTCATGTTAAAAACAGATTCTCATTTTCCAGATAAAATAATAAAAAAACATGCAAAGTTAAAATCAATGAAATGATATTTTATATCTGATCACACTATTGTATTTGTCATGCATAATATAAATAGTAATCAATTTATTCAACAATGAAAATATAACTTTAATGTATTTATCATTTTCGCTTGATTTCAATAAACAGTATGTAAATATTACTGATTTTAAGATGCTGTATTAATATTTATATTAATAGATTTGATCTAGTCATTGTAAAAACCTTCATTTTGTAGTCAATGCTTTTAGTAACTCTCAAGCTACATCATATTTATTTATTTATTTAAAATCAAAAAAACTCCATTGATAATACTGTTACAGATTTATACATTATATTCTTAAGTAATATGGTTACCTGTTGATGTATATTTTACAACAGTGAAAATTTCAAGTATCTATCTAGAAAAGTTAATTTTTTAAAGTAGTCATATTCATCAATTTCACTGTCTTTCTTAAAACGGAGGATGACAGATCAGTGGAAGGAGACATAATGAAATACTGATAGGATTATTAAGATGAAATATCTGCCGGACACAAATAATTCTGTTCAGATTGTTGAATAAAAGTAAAAGATATCTCAAAAAATGCTTTTTTACAGTTTTTTTTTATTAAAATACATGATAATGATAAGCGTTTTTGTAAATCTTCTCGAGATATATGAGCAATCACATGCGATGGAAAAGGAAGAGAAGAAAAAATTTAACGTATCTCATAATACTCAATTTTATCTAGTTCAATAATAGATGTTTGACGACTTTTACGATAATGAATTTTTCAAAGAACTTCTTTTATACAAGATTTATTAATTATATTATTTGTATATAACCAACGGAGTAATCCAATAAAATTCATAAAAGGAAAGAGTTGATTGATGAATTTTAACTAATATTATTTCATTATTTATTTCGCTAATCCATTCATGTCTTTTTAATGTTTTCAAAAATTCATTTTTTTTTCGAAGTTCAAAAGGAACAAGAAGTACAGGAAGAAATGTGTGAATCCATTCAAAATGAGCGAAAAAAGCTTCCATAGATGGAATTAAAGATAGATGAGTATCGGATGGAGAATTAGCAAAAAAAGAGAAAATAAATGCCTGTAATAAATGTTATTTGAATATTATCGTTTGTTTTTGCTTGAAGATACTTTACGAATATTTTTATATAGATTTTTAGAGTAAATTGAGAACAAACGGAACTTTATATTTTAGTAATATAGAACTTGATAACAACGTTTGAACAAATTTCATACGATTCGTCAACCTGTAGATCGTTATGAGATAAAAAGAATGACTAATTGAAGACAAAACAAAATCACTGTTTTATGGATTATTAGAAAAAAGAATATGGAAATAGTCGTGCAATAAAATTTTTTTCAAAAAAAATTATATGTACTTCACAGAAGTTTTTTTTTGTAATTTTCTAATTATTACTTTTTTTGGAATTATTTGGTTTTGAAGATAATCTATTATGTAGTAAATTTAAATATAAAAACTTCATGTTCATTGTTAATCAAATTTGATCTTTAATATAAATTAAATTGGTTTCAAACCAAAAGCAAGGCACATATTATCATAAATAATAAATGCCATGATTGAATGTGGCCCAAGACGCATCCAATTAGGTAAAAAACCTTTGTAAAGACCATAAAGACCTTCAGCTTTAACTGATTTAATAAAACAATCAAATACACTTGAATATATGCCTAAATGAGCTGGTGTATTTTGATATCGAGTTTTAATTACATCTACTGGTGATGTTGTTATTGAACAAATAAGACCAGCAAAAAATGAAGCTACCGTATGTAAAGCTATACCTTCTTGCATATAACCATGACCAATTAGAAATCTTTTAATTTGATCATAGGATGCTACTTGACTACCAGTAAGTATAGCAGCACGAATCATTGTTGGTCCCCAACCTTTATAAAGGCCTGCTAAACCTTCTGTTTTACCTACATCAATAAGACCATGCATTAAACCACGATATCGTCGTTCACCTTTAACTTGAAGACGAATTTTAACAACATCAAGTGGTGTTGCAAAAAAACTTGATATAGCACCGGAAAATATGCCAGCTATAATTTTTATATGAAGACTATTACCACCACCCAATAAATTTTTGAATGGTTCATACAGATACTATTAAAAAATAAATGAATGTTTTGTTTTTTTTTTCAAATTAAAAGTGAAATAATATTTTTTTTCGATTAAAACATTTATTTAACAAACTGAAAATAATGATTAATATAAATACAATACTTACAATACGCATACCAGAATAAGTAGCATCTCGTAATGTACCAGGAACAGCACCACGCATTAAACCAGCGAAACCTTCTTCACGTACAATACGAAGTGTTCCACGAATAAAACCTTGATAATAACGATTGTGCATTTGTTCACCAACACTATGTGTTTTTTGTAATTCACCATCTACTTGCATACGTGTTTTAATTACATCGATGGGACTTTAATAATAAATATATACGATGATTATTTGGTTCTATAGTTACTTACTTAGTACAAAAACCAGTGAAACCTTGAGAAAAACTTGCAAAAAAGAAACGAAGAGGTTCATTTGATTTGTTCTTAATTGGTAAATCGGGTTGTACTGCCATATTGTTTTCTTTGATTTGCTTACGTACATATAATAATCAAGAAGCACGTGGTTGTTCCTTTCCACGACACATTCACCTACTCTTTTTTTTATCGAGGCCGTTCGACATCAACAAAAACAGAACGCAAAATCGTCGTGCGATATATATGATTAAAGAAAAAGCTGGTAGGTCAAAGTCAACACTCTCTAAACAACATTCAGAAATAATAATCACTATTTCATTTAGAGAAAATTAATAGTGAATAAAGTATATATATATATATATATATAAACATATTGGCATATTATCTTTAATAAAACTATTTAATACAAAAATTGGTACCGCCACAAATCAAGAAGTATAATCTATTTTGTTCTATGTTGTTCTTACTTGATTTTTGATGCCTTTTGTTTGTCCTTGTCCTATGATAAGATAACAGAGAATATCTTTCTCGCAAACAAAGAAAATTGCTTCTTATTTGTAAAAAAAAGGCGTAGCAAATAGCTTTGCTCCTATCAATCTCTGGTTTGGGGTAAAGACTCACTGATTAATATAATCTTTGACGTCTGCACTCAAAATAGAAAGTAACAGTTTGAGTACAAGATTCTTCAAAGGGAATTTTTCAACGGTTTTATATGCAGATACTTGTAGGATAGTTTATTATTAATAAATATTGATTATTAGTTTTGAATGAAAAGTTTTCATTACTGATATTATATGAAAAATAGATTGATATCTAATTGTATTAATTTATTTTATAGTTTACTCTTAGATCAAATTTTTTTAGCATTTAACTCATCAAAAGTCATGCATGTTAATTGAAACAATTAAAACACTGAATATCAATCAAACAACAAAATATTGTAAACAGAAGTCGAGATTTGAGTTAATTGTGTTGAAGAGATTTATTGTTAATAATTTAATATTTTATGTATGATATAATATCAATATTAGTTTCTACAAAAAATATATTCAGATTTTTTTCTAAATCACTAAAAAAATTTAGAATGTTGCAAAAGATGAAACAATGTCTTAGTTCAACTTTAAAATACTCAATTTTAAATAGTCGTCTTTTTTATTATTTTCAACATTCTAAAGTATTTGACAACAACCTGATTTGTATAAAATCAAAAACATACGTTATATAGTCGGATAAAAATTATATCCTTTATCGGTAAAGATAAATATTTTTTCTACTCTTGATTGACTTTTGCCTATTACATTTATTCTATTTGTTATTAACAAAATAACATAATTTCGTACAAATGTATCATCCAAACTAAAGATGCTGTTTTTTTTTCTATTATAAATGTATTAGATATAGAAGATTGAGATCTATTATATTTTTCTTCTTTTATTTATCAACAAAGAATATATCCATGACTCGTCATAGTAGATGTATAAAAATAGCAGATGTCTCTCATTTAGCTTTTATGTCTGTATATGACCTGACACTTTCTTTTCGTTCTTATCCTTTTACCATTATTCGAACAGGAAGTTAATACCAAAACAAGAATCAATTCATTAGATATTCTTTTTATACTGTTTTCTTTGGTGAAAAATAACAATAGAGAATACAGCGGTGGATATAAGTTTAACAATAAATACAACATCCTCATATTTATCATACTTGATTCGACACTGCAAGCAATCATGGTATTTCTAAAGAGATTATTGGAAAGAACAAAATGACCTTGACATAAGATGTTTATCTACTCTGAAATAACTTCATCTGAAAGTTCATGAACAGTCGGGGGTTTATGTCTGAGAAGACTACACAAGATTCATTTTGCTCTTTCAAAATAATCTTCTTAGAAATAGCATAATTACTTGTTGTGTCGAACCAAACATAATAAACACGATTCTATCGTATTTATTATTGCCAAACTTTTTTCCGATACTTTACATAGAAGCTAAAATAGAGAATTGCAATACTTATACAGTTAACCATACTTATAATTAATATTATTACTGCTGTTTGAAATACATCTAGCATTGTAGTGAGTGTCATTAAATTCTAAAACAAAACTATAGAATAAGCACTAGTGATGAGCATGAATATCAAAGATTGAACAAACATTATTTGAATTATTGGTCGATCTATTTTCTATCATATCTGTTGAAGCGGAGATTGATGTTGATTATCAAATGGTGTCATTTGTTTTTTTTGTCTGCATGAATATTCATAATAGTGAGTATTAAAACCAAGAAACCTAGGACTAAATTTCAAACGATAATAAATAATTGATAGGTGCTTGATTGAGTTATACAGTTTCCGTGTGTAATAAGCATTGTATAATTGATTAATACATAACAATGAATAAGAAGAATTACTCAAATCCAAACTACTCGAAGACAAAGTGAATATCGTCTTCTAACTGAATAATGTAAAGAACTTAACAGATGAGCGTTTGTAAATATTACATTCGAAATATACATTAATAGAGGAAAGGTAACTATTTTTTTCTAATAGTTTTCGTCAATCAGACAAAGCCAATTGTGACATAAGAAAATGTATCAAGATGAAACAGCCTGAATCCATATGTGAATGATACTCAATTTTTTAACAAGATACATTCAACGGATTGTACATCTTCGATTTTACTATCTTTTAATCAAAACATCATCAAATATTTATGTAGCAAACTAAGAATGATCATTAAATCACATTCCTGAATAAAGTACCATCTTACAACTATTGAGAATAATAATCAATGGCTATATACATTGATGACATGTGATATCCTAATAGTTCAAACTACGATGAAATTATAATTTATAATCATTTACATCGTTTGAAAATTGTATTTTGACATATCCAAAGAGAAAATAACCGCAAACGTACTACGTAGGAAACAGTATTAATCGATCAATCAAAATTTTGCGTTAGACACAAAATATTTTATCTATTTAAGTATAGAGTAACTCAATGATTATGTTAGAAGTCATCTAAATACTTTTGTGTAACATATTATATGTAAAATTGACAACATTTGTGAAGTATTGATAGTTAATATCAGCTTGAAGTATATGTTAACCATTGCCTTTGTTTCAACAAATTCTGATTATAATATCATAACTTTGACATACGTGAAAGTTAAAATGTGCCATGGGTTGATTATTCTATCTCATGTACAATCTTTGCTACTATTAGAAATCATCACTATGAATTGGCAGAAATGTTCATTCTTACTATCTGTAATAGACATTATAGTTTTGCGAAGAAGTAAAGAAACTAAATTTTTGAAGGTAAATCGAATATATATATATAGAAGAAATAAAAGATCTTGAACATATGAGTACATTTGAACAAGTTGATTCTCTATTTTTAATTGATAATTCGAAAGAACAACTAATTATCATTATCGTTGTAGTTAAATCCTATTTTTTAACTATAGTGACTTATCAAGAACAACTTTATATGAGATTGATTGAATTGAAAATGATATTAGACGAAACATTTCAATCTTTGATATCATTTGTGCCGTAAAAAGAATAGGATAAGTCATAATGTAATTAAAATTTTTAATGATACGCATGGGCAAAAGTAAAGATTTCGAGAAATACTATGATTTATGTGGTTCTATGATGAAAAATTTTCTCGTTAGCTATAACTAGCGTCACCTATTATTTCAAATGAAAAAAAAATGAAATTTATTGTTGTTTATTTTTTTTAATTCATTCCAAAAAAGAATTTTTCTTTTTAAAACTAATAGAGGTCTAAAAGACGAAATGTTCAAAAACATTCTTCGTTCAACATGAGAATTTTTCGATCGAACATTGATTGGTAGATACGTACCTTTGTGAAAAACCATTTGAGATTACTTAATTTAATTTCATCGTTTCTATTCAGTGGCACGAGTTCTTTTTTAAATACTTCATCAACGTATCTATTTAAGATTATTATTTAGATAATCTAAATTAACATGATGGGTCGATCAGGTAAAATTCAAATGACAAGCAAACAAAAAAAAAATTCTTAATAAATGAATTCTTTATTAAAATAGATTTTCGTGGTGGTCGTGGCGGTGGTGGAGGACGCGGAAGAGGTAAATTAGTTTAGTTTTGTTAACCAATTTAAATAAATCAATTTTTCTATAGGAGGTGGTGATCGCGGTGGTTTTCGTGGTGGACGAGGTAGGACTTTAAATTCATTCGTGTATTTGTTTTATGTTTTTTTATTTATTTAGGTGGTGACCGAGGTCGTGGTGGTAAGATTTTTGAATAATAAGGAATTTTAATAAATAGTTCAATTAATAGGTACACGCGGCGGTGGTGTACGTGGTGGACGTGAGTATTTTATCTGAAATTTACTTTAATTTAGATAAATTATTTTTCTTAGGCGGTGGCCGAGGTGGTGGTGGCCGAGGTGGTGGTGGTCGTGGTGGTGGTAGAGGTAATTAAAAGATTTTTGGTCAAATTTATTGATGCTATGTATTTTATATAATAAGGCGGTTTTGGTGGTGGTGGAAAAAAAATTGTTGTTGAACCACATCGTCATCCTGGTGAGTTTATTATCTTTTGTAATACCTTTTTTTCTATTATAATATATCGTTTTTTTTTTTCTTCTCTATAGGCGTATTTATCGCTCGATCAAGAGATGATGATATGTTATTAACTAAAAATATGGTTGTTGGTGAAAGTGTTTATGGTGAAAAACGTATTAGTTCTGATGTATAATCTTTGTTTCATAAGTTTTCAAATAAATAAATAAAATATTTTTTGTTCTGTAGGGAGAAAATCAAGAAAAAATTGAATATCGTGTATGGAATCCATTTCGTTCAAAATTAGGTGCTGCAATTCTAAGTGGTGTTGATAATATTCATATGCCACCAGGTACAAAAGTTCTTTATCTTGGTGCAGCAAGTGGTACAACTGTGTCTCATGTATCTGATATTGTTGGACCAGTATGTATTTGATTTTTAATTTAATTTAATTTTATAATATATTTTATTTCTATTAAGGATGGACTTGTTTATGCAGTTGAATTTTCTCATCGATCTGGTCGTGATTTATTAAATGTTGCAAAGAAACGAACTAATATTATTCCAATTATTGAAGATGCACGTCATCCGCATAAATATCGAATGCTTATTGGTTGGAAAATAAATGCACTTTTTTTTTTAACTAAGCAATATTATCCTTTTTTTTCTGTAGGTATGGTTGATACAATATTTGCAGATGTTGCACAACCGGATCAAGCACGTATTCTTGCACTTAATGCACATCATTTTTTGAAAAATGGTGGACATTTTGTTATTTCAATTAAAGTAAAAATAAGAAAAAGATTTATTTTTGTTGAATGACTTTGTTTGTTTTTTTTTTTGTCGTATAGGCAAGTTGTATTGATTCAACAGCAGCACCAGAAGCTGTATTTGCTGGTGAAGTTAAAAAACTTCAAAGTGAAAAACTTAAACCAAAAGAACAACTTACATTAGAACCATATGAACGTGATCATGCGGTTGTTGTTGGTCTTTATCGGTAATGATAAATATTCTTTTTTTTTTAATATTCGAATAATTTTTCCTTTTTTTTTTTGTTTTTATTTTTAGACCTATTGGTAAAGGCAAGAATAAAGATGAAAATGAAAAAAAAGAATCAATGGAAGAATAATAACATTAATGTTATATGTTCAACAATTTTGTGTAGGCAATTTATGCCTGTTATTTGTACCGTTTTTGTTGTTCTTGTTGTTGATTAAAAATAACAAACATACATTTGAAAAAACAAAAACTAATCTTTGTATTCTTAATGAAGACTTTTGAGAAAAAAGAATCAAAAGAAGATAAAGATCATATTTGATGAATGAATGAAAAAAAGTTCGAAGAGTAAAAAAAATGAATTGTTCAAATTATATCAAGTATAAATATTGAAATTATACAACAATTTCAAAAACAAATAGATATAGTTCAACAAAATATATTTCATAAGGATAATAAATACTCGATGTGTCTTAACTGGTCATTGTTTCTCGAGATTAGCTTTCTACTAAATATTTTAGTTGAATTCTATATCATTCATGCTTTCATCCGAATGATTGTCTCTGCAAGGTAACATATTTAACCATACCGACGATATACACAGAGTAGAATGCCAGTCGGAGAACAACAACCGGAATACTGCGGTAGAATGGTTATCAAAAGATAGTTGATCGTTTAAGTATCAAACTACCATCGGTTGATTTTCTGTTAGAATCACATGGATTGCTAAAATGTTCATAAGTTGGTTGAATATTTTAGAAATATTTCTACATTTGACAACAACTTTTGAATTGTAAGAGGAAATGACCGACATAATATTTTGGATTATAATAATATTTACATGAAGTAGTGCAACTTGTATGACGAAATTTAAGTTTCCGGCTACTTCCGATAGTTATTGTTTTAGTTTGAATTATTCTATTTGAAATTTTTCACGAAACAATCTTTGAAAGTAAAGGTATTTACTTTCGATTCATTTGATCTATTATTTTATCTTCACTTTCATGCAAGTATCTATACTTTAAAAAATGATTATGAACTGTTTTTTACGATTTCATATGTTGTAGCTATATTTGTTGAAGATTTTTAAATTGACTATGCGCGTCTACTTTACTTTTTAAAGAGTGGTTTATACTGATTAATGTACATATAATTTATAGATTAAGTTTTAATAAAATATAAAAAGTGAACATTAGAATTATTATTTTGTATTTTAATGTAATACAAGTTTTCATTTCTTGTGACAAAAAAAAAATAAAACTGCCTCTGATTTGAATATTAATTTCGATGTTAGTAACTTTTTTTTTTTCATTATTCTACGTTGAATTGGCTTCGTATTATATTCATCATTCTTCGATACAAAATAAAGAAAAAAAAAAAACAAGGTTCTATGACAGAAGTTACAAATTCACAAGGCAAATCTATTTTAACAGTAAGATATTAGTTGTTGTTATTGTTTAATATCAATGATTCAAATATTTGTTTTTTTTTTTTTGTATTTTTATTAAGGGTGAAGCTTTAACACATGAACAAGAAATTGGTAAGAAACTACATGTATATTCATACATATATTATATCTTAATAGAATTTGATGATTTTTATATAGAATATAAACAAGCATTTAATTTACAAGATCGTGATGAAGATGGTTTAATAAGTTTAAAAGAATTAAATTATCTAATTCGTTCATTAGAATTTAATCCAACTGATAATGAAATTCAATATTTAATTGATCATATTATTGATGAAGGTTTGATTTTTAAATATTAAATATATATATATATTCTAAAACAAATTTATTTTTCTATAGGAAATAATTTAATTGATTGTAATCAATTTTTAATTATAATGTCTATATTACAAAAAACTCGAGATATTGATGCTAGAAATGAATTACGTGAAATATTTAGTTCTATCGATACAGATAATAATGGATTAATTGATAGTACAGAATTACGAATAATTATGCGTGTAATAACAAGTGGAAGTGATGATATGAAATTAACAAAAGAAGAACTTGATGAAATGATTGCAGAAATTGATAATGATAAAGATGGACGAATAACGTTTGATGGTAATTTTCAAAAATGATTATTATAAATAATAGTATAAACAATGTTGTTGTTGTTTTTTTTTCTTATTATTTAGAATTTGCTGGTATTTTTGCAGGACAAATATAATTTACAACTACGTTGTTTTTTTTTTTTGTCTAACTATTAAATCATAGAATTTTTTAATCAATTTAAAATTTTTTCTTTTTATTACATATGAAAATAAATTTCATTTTTGAAAAGCTCAATATTCGATTGTATTTTAATAGAAATTCAAATATTAAATATCTCAAATCATTGTATTGTTTTTGAATATCAAAGAAAAATTTTATCTTGTATTTAGTGACATCTATCGAAAAGATTATTATTGAGTTTTTGTTTAATTTTATAACTAATATTTGTTGTGAATTTAATTGATTTTTTTTTCAAAAATGGGTAATGAATATTTATTACAGTTTGAAAAACATATTTTTAAATAGGTATTGGATCGACAATGGGAAAAACAAAAAAAAAAAAAAATGTAAAGATTGTTTTTTATTATTTTAATATCAGATATTAACGAATCGTATTTTTAAGAAAAGAATCTTGTCTTGTGATATTTACTTTTATTTCCTTCTTCATTAATTTTTGACATGAAAATAAATTGACAATCTTTTTTGATATTCATATAGATCTTCAAATGATACGAAAATAATAAAGAAATCAATTTATCGTTTTATTATGTTTTTTATATGTATATATTTCCTTTTCTGTTTGCACGCATTTCCCTCTAGTAGTACTAGACTCGATCTATCTCGACATTGAATCGTATTAAAGGATGAATCAATAAAGAATTACTGTCATAACAACTTATATTGGTCTTTCTTCTTTTTATTTTTACGGTTGTTGTTGTGTCATTTGGGTTAATATTCTTTTTTTTTTTTTTGCTGACTGTAGATCATTATTAGCATCAGACAAATAGAAAGAACGTCAACAAACATCAAACGATCGAACCAAAAAAAAAAAAAAAGAAGAAAAAAAAATAGCAAATAAGCCAGAATCATATTCTCTCTGTTCTTCACTTTATTACGTGCATACGCATGTCAAATTTCCTGAATGTTCGTCAGTGCCAATCAATAGTCAATATATCTCGGTGGTCAATAGTAATCATACAAAATAGATTCATCAACAAAATGACAACAATAGTAGTATCAAATTCAATTGAGTAAGTTGCAAAAAAATTTGTCAAATAAAAAATAACTAAGGGAATGACTCAAACACCACACACGCAAAAAAAAAAGAAAGAACAGAAATCAGTCATTCCTCAATATGATAGACAATATTGGATAAGTGTCAAATTACTTTGTTTTTTTCTTTGCCAATCTCTTATATGAATATTATTCATTCATAATAATGAAGTAAAAAGTTTGGTTAATGTTATAGAGCGGCTCACTTATAATTAATGTTTCTTTGTCACCTCTGTCCTGTTAGTGCATTCATGACACATATCATACATATGTATATGTATTGTTTTTTCTTCCTTCCCTTTCGTCATCAGGTATTTTCCAAAATGTTTTCTGCTTGTGATATTATTATGAATGATATTTTCATCATTTAATTTTTCACGATGACGTTTGATTATTTTCCTAATTTGTTAGTATATATAATGACCGTTTTGAAATACAAAAAAACAAAAAAAACAAAATGTTGTATGTTAGTTTTTATATTTCATGGATAGTAGGATTGTTATCGTTTTATGTTATTATGTCAGTTATTTCATTATTACAATCCCAAAAGTATATTCTGTGTATACAAAATATCATTGAATTCAATATAAATTAATGTTTGTTTTTTTTTTGTTTTGCTATTTAGTAAGGATCATAATGAAGAATCTTCTTCAAACGATGAAGTAAATTTACCTTCAGACGGAACAATTCGTTCTATTACTGATCGTTTACCTATGGGACCTATTATTGCTGCTAGTCGTCTTATGTCTTGTTTATCTAAACAACCACGCAATATAACATCAAAACGTCACTATACAGTATCGACTAATAGTAATGGAAAATCATCATTATTAAAACCAATATCTAAACGAATTTCATCATCTCAAAGTCCATCATTTCCACGATCAACATCTAATTCAAATTCATTACATGAAAATTCATCTCCAGCAATGCGTAATTCAACAACAACACCATCAAATTTAAATAGTTTCTCTAAGACAGTAACAACATCAATAACACCAACTACACCAACACCTGATACAATTGGATTTAAATTTAATTATGATCCAACATATACACAATTACGTGATTTAGCTGATACAAATTGTAGATATTTTTCTCAACAAAAAACAGATGTTTGTAGAAGATTTGAACGTTTATTAATACAACTTTTACATTCAATTGATTTATCCGTACCACTTATTCAATATCTTATAGATAATTTTCATCATTTTGACTATAGTCCAGAAGTATATAATATTAGATTTTTAAATTTAATATATAATTTTTATTTTCTTTATTCAATAGATTAAAGCTAATGGTTATCGATCATTAGTTGTAGCACATGGTCAAGCATGTGAACGAACATTAGATATACTTCGACAAGTTGATACAAAACGTGTTGGTCTTTTATTTAATCTTATGTATTCATCTCGATTATTTCAAGATCTTGAATCTTGGACAAAAGCACTTATAGCAATGCAACATATAATAGCATTAGCTGTTAAAATGATTGATTATTCAGAAAAGAAAGTATTATATGTATGTAAAAAAGAAAATTTTTGATTTTTATTAAGAATTTTACATTAATATTTTCTTTTCTTTTCTTTATATTTAGGTCGATGCTGATCATGTACCACTTGATATTGAACTTGATTATTTTAAAATGGTTGCATTTGATTCAGAATATTTCTTTGGTCGAACATGTGGATTTCAAGTAAGAATCGATAAGAAAATACATAATTTGAGATATGCTTTAACTAGAATAGTTTAATATATCGATAGATTCGATGTTTTTATTTCAAGATAGCAGAAAATGCAAAAGATTTGAAACATTCCCAATCAACTATTCTCGTTTTAAGCTTGTTTCTGTCTATACAAAATTTCCTGTTGAAAGTCGAAAATCAATTTATCTAGTATTCCATTGAGAGAATGATGACGCTGATTTGAGGAATATTGTGAAAATTCCAGAATCACGATAGCAATAAGCAAACAGTACGAATTTCTATCATGATATTCATAACTCATTAGAGTCTAAATCATGTACATCGTTCCGAAACACAAAAGCAATAAATTAATTACGGAGACTTCTTCCGTTAGACAAAAAAAGAACATAGAATTACGACATATCATTAATATACATATCCGAATTTAATCAAATAACCGACATTTCCTATCACATTAAGTTAATAAAAAAAAAAGCAAATGTCATTATACAATCATGCAAATGAATATGATGTAACTGAATAGCTATGGTTGTATACATTGAACTGGAATAGTCTAGGTATCATTAATCATACCGATTGTTATCATAAATCTTAAAAAGAAATGAAATATACCTTTTATTATATTCATTAGAACGATATTGTAGTTGTTTCAGAATTTTACTTTTTTGTTTTTTGTTTTTTAAATAACTTGCACTATTTTGAAATATATTTTTTACATTTAAGTTTGCTCCATCGATGCAAACAATGCTTACTTTTCTATTAGCTGGTTTGGCTACTTATCATGAAACATATAATCGACCAATAACATATGCAGCTGCTAGTCTTGCAACAGCACCTAAATATATTTTATTTCCAGAACAACGAGCTAAAAAGGTTTCATTTAGAAAATATATTCGCTAATTTTGTTTTTAATAAAAATCTTTACTTTATAGTGTGCTGCTATATTTCGTGATAGTGATTATTTATTTTGTAAATCATTTTGGAATATTGTTGATCATGATTATGTTAAAATGGGTTCACGCTATATTGTACCTAATGTAACTGTATCAAAATATTTTCAAATTGGACCTGAACCAATTGAAATTAATTCTATTATTATTCCACCACCAACAGCAAGTGCTGGTATTGATGAACCAAATGAACGTGCAGCTGGAAATATTGGAGCTGGTTCAGATAGTTCAACAGGTTCTGGTAGTAAACAACCAAAACAACTTGTTAATATAAAACTTTTATCAAATGAAATACGAGAAGGTATGAATGAATTACCATTAAAAAAAAGTGATCTTGAAATATCATCAACAACAATTTCACCAATGAGTGATCATCTTCTTTTACATATACATGGTGGTGGATTTATTGCAACATCATCAACAACTCATGAAGTATGTTTAAAACAAAAAATATTCTTTATTTAATTACTAGATATTAAAAAGAAAAATTTTATTTTTATTTTTATTATTTAGGTTTATTTAAAACCTTGGGCATTAGGTCTTGAAATACCAATTGTATCTATTGATTATTCATTAGCACCTGAATATCCATTTCCACGTGCTATTGAAGAATGTTTCTATGCATATGCATGGGTTTTAAAAAATGCAAATAAACTTGGTTGGACTGGTAAAACACTTTTACTTGTTGGTGATAGTGCCGGTGGTAATTTAGTTACAATTGTTACAATGAAAGCAATTGAAGCTGGATTAAGAAAACCAGATGCAATTATTTGTTTTTATACACCATTTCTTCTCGGTTATAGGTAATAATATATGATATATGATAAGAACCTTACAGTTACAGAACATGCCAATGAATATTTGAAATAGTTCATTGACTAAATAATGATTATCGATTTTTTTCATACTTAAATAGTAGGTTGAATAGTTAATGAAATTCTCTATCAAATGAATTCCAAGGGGAAAGTTTTTTGAAAAATCAAACACGTTACTCACAAGACTGTGTGAAAGATTAGTTTTTAAGAGTGTCCTCTTAAAGAGCACAAAATCGTAACTAAAATGGGAAATTACCGCATTTCCTACGATATTCCCTTAAAAAGTTATAAGTATCATTTATTTATCATAGCATTGGTAAAGATCAGCTAAAACAACACATTTTTTTATTTTCTATGATGTTTATAACTTTTTAAAGGAATGCCATAGGCAGGATTTTATGCTCTTGAAGATGATAGGCTGAAAAACTAGTTTTGACACAAGCTTTTAGGAATTGAAAAGTATTGTGTTTGATTTTTCAGAAATTTTCTTATAAAATGCATTTCATAGAGAACTTCATTGCCTGTTCAAACCATTATTTGAATTTGAATTCAATGCTTAGTATCATAGAAGAAAAAAAAGATCGAAAATCTGTTGGTTTTGTTTGTTTTTTTTTGACACTTCTATAGATTTCTTAAATGAAAAATTTTATAATTTAGTATGTCACCATCTCGATTGATGGCAATTATGGATCCATTATTAAATACTGGTTTTCTTTGGCGTTGTCTTGCTGCTTATGCTGGTATAAAATCTGATGATGAACCTCCTCATGATGAATTAGAATCTGCTATAATTCCTAATCAGAATGATAGTTTATCTGAAAAACAACATAAAATTAACAATATTATATCATCACCCGATCAAATTGTACCTCAATCAGATAATTCTTTCAAAAATGAACAAATTTCAAAAAATTTAGAATATATTCGAGGAGATACATATTATTCTCAATTAGGTATATTAAAATAAAAAATAATATCATTCTTATTCTAATATATTTATGTATATCAGGTGATATAATGGGCTCACGTCAAGCTCGTTTACTTCGAAAACTACGTGAATCAACCTTACCAAATAATCCATATATGTCTCCATTACGTGCATCAGACGATATTCTACGACAATTTCCAACAACATATCTTATTGTAAGTTAGTTTTCTTTACTATTTATTAACACTTTTTTCAGTTGTATTGTTTTTTTGTCTCTCCCAAAATCATCGATTTCTATTTTTTTTTTTTTTTGTCGTGAAAAAATTCTTTTCTATAAAATACTTAAACATTTCAGGCATGTCATCAAGATCCTTTATTGGATGATTCAATAACATTTGCACGTCATTTACGTTCATTATCAGTTGAACATCATGTAGTTATTGTACAGAATGTAACACATGGTTTTCTAAGTTTTTATAATGCAAATAATATTTGTAAAGAAACAACTAATCGTATTATGAATGATTTTGCACGACGCTATAATATCAATGGATCATTATTTCCATCATCCTCATCATCATCAAAGAGAAAACAGCATAGAAAAAACATTTTAGCACCATTAACAAATCCAATTTTTCCAATGCCAATATCTACAGATATAATCGATGAATAAATCTTTTGATATGTTTATTTTTCTTTTTGTTTTTTTCTTTTGGTTTATTGTTTTTATTTGCAAAAAAAAAAATACCATATTTTTAAATATATAAATAGTATAATAATTCTTATTTTCTCTTTTTTTCTATGTTCAAGCCATGTGCACGTGGTAAGTTAGAATTGAAAAATGAAAAAATTTATTTTTAATCAGATCTCTTTTTTTCGAGATCCATTTATTGATGATAATATTGAATTTGCACGGCGATTACGGGATCTCAAAGTTTCTCATCATTTAACTGTAGTCGATGAATGGCCACATGGTTTTCTTGATTTTGGCTTTGCAGCATCAGATGTTGCACAATATAATATTGAGATTTTAAATATGTTGCAAAAAATTCTTCAACAATCATCATCAAATGCCGATGTCATTGCTTCAGTACCGGATCATATTGACTAAAGTTATTATTTTTTTCTTTCTTCTCGAATCAATTAGTGTATTTCTACCTAAATGAGCAGTATATGTCTTTATCTAGACGAGCATTATGTATTTTGTTTGTATTTATTTTCTTTTTTATTATAATTTTACAATAAAAAAAAAACGAAAGAACGAACAGATATCAATACGAATAATAGTCATATATTGGAGGATATATATAAGGATCTGAATATGGATGAAAGTATGTTATGGAATCTTGAACCAGAGTATATCCAGGTGGTGGAATCTGTCCAGCATATGGTATTCGAATATCGTCAAAAGAATCATCTTTAAAAAATCTTCCAAATCTATAAAACATATCCATGCCGATAGCAATATTATGATGTTACTAGTAGTGACAGGCAGTCGTAATTGATTTGTCAAGTTGTAAAGATATGAATACATTTATATATAGGCAACAGAAAGAAAATTGCTTGCATTTGATAAAAACAGCCAATCAATGTTCCAAATATAGCAATATCAAATATTTGAGACCTGAAATAAAAAGAAAAAAGTATGCTTTCGGCTACCTTTCATGTAATACAAGGACAAATATAAATTAGTAATTTAAATTAGTCCTTGTTTCAACTAAACATCCACGTATGTATACACATATAAATCGATACATATAATGAACTAGATGATTCTATTTTTAAAAACTTTAGTTCATTTAATTTTCTATAACTGACTACTGCCATCTAGTAAAATCGTATTGGATATATATAGTAATGAATAAATGTTCACTCAATTAGACATGTTATTGTTTTGTGTTTTTTTTTTCTATTGTTCGAACATCTAGATAATTTCTTTTATTCTCGTGTTTTTTTTTATTTTATAAGAAAATGTTGACAGATGACAATTTTACAAATCAACAAAATTGTGATAATATTTCAATTACTAATATCGATTCTCATCCAACATTAAATTCAACAATATCATCAAATTCTAAACGTGATTGGGTTTTATTAAATGTTGGTGGTAAACATTTTATGACAACACGTTCAACATTATCAAAAGAAGAATCATTTCTTTGTCGTCTTTGTCAATGTGAACCTGATCTTAAAACTGATGTCGTATGTTTCGTTTTTTTTGTTTCTTTTTAATTTATTAAATTTAATCAATGAGTCATATCGTTGTTTTTTTTTGTTTTCGTATTTTCATACATAGGATGATAAAGGAGCGTATTTAATTGATCGTGATCCAAATTATTTTAATGTTGTATTAAAGTAAGAAAAATTTTTCTTTTAATTTATTGTATAATCGATATATTCTATTCGATAATATAGTTATCTTCGTCATGGTAAATTAATTCTTGAAACAAATCTTGTTGAAGAAGGTGTACTTGAAGAAGCTGAATTTTATAATATACGACCATTAATTGAACTTGTTAAAGAAAAAATTCGTGAAAGAGATAGACGAAAACTTAATGATGTAAGTTTTTAATTTTTATTAATTCACCCTTTCAATTCCGGCGGATCCTTCAGGAGCCACCCACGTTTTTCTTTTTAATATTAATGTATGCAATTAAACTGATTTCACAGTTCGATAGACGTCAACAATATCTTCAACTTGATATAACACATTAATATTTTTTATATTCACACATTGCTCCGCAATCTTCTTTTTCTTTAAAAAAGGAAATTAAAATCAAATAAAATAAGAAATTTAAAAAAGCCTCTTTAATTTTTCGAGAAAGAACCGAGATTGAAAGGATTAAGAAAAAAGAAAATAGAAGAATTGAAATTAAGAATTTAATTCAAATGAATTTGATAGGTTTTTGATAAAAACATTTGTGATAGAAATATTTATTGTTTAAATAAGTAAAAATTTTTTGCAGAATTTTTTTTATTTTGTTTTAAAATCAAATTAATTTAGCAAAATCATTGTATCATCTAATATTTGTGCAAAATCATATGTTAACTGAAGATAGACTATAAACAACTGAAAAGATTTTCTATATATTTTAAATTCTACTCTATTTATTTCTCTAAATTTCATAGAAAAATTTTTCGCAAAATATGATATTTATTCTTCATACGATACATAACAAACTGTAAAAGATTTTTTTCTTTATCTTATCAACTTCGATATTCTTTCTAGAATTAGAATTAGATTCTCAACAGATTAAGTTCTTCCAATCTGTCTTGTAAAACCCATTTACTCATATTAGTATTTTGACATCGGACAGAAGAAAAATTTTTAATATGTATATTATACAAAGAACATGTTACGTCAGTCTGATGAGTTCAATTCACTCTAAAACATTTTCACAGCTATGTTAAAGTAACTCTTTGTATGAGTTAAGGTAGGCTTAATTCACCCTGAGCTGATCTCCTGACTCCGAAATCAAATTTGAGAGATGAGTCACATCAGAGTTGTAACCGGTCCGGACCGGACCGGTTGAAGCAGTTCCACCGGCCGGTTTTCACCGGTTGAAATATATTTTATGAATATGCAGATTTTTCAGATAAAACTTGTTGATAACAAGTTTTTATACCTTTATCAAAATAATGAACTTGTTTTATTTCCAAAACTATACATTTTTTCTTCTGTTCCTCAATCTATTTTATCTGTTTAATCGTTATGCACTTTATTTTTTAAAAAGTGCATTCGAAACTGCATTAATTCAGTTAAACTTATCTCATACACTTTTTGTGAAGATAAAATTTAGGTTCGAGTCATCGTCAAGAGAGAAGCGTTATTTTATTTGTAAAGGTAAAGTGACTAAAAAATGATTCTCTAAATATGCGAAACGTCTTTTTCTATATTTAACTTCTACCTATATATTTAAATTATAATAAAATACTTAGAAAACAAGGCACAAAACGCTTAAGATTAGGTCTTTTCTAATGAGTGATATTTTAATTTTCTTGTTACATTGATTATTTTCCTTTAAAATTAATAAAAATTTTTTAAAAAATTCGTTGTTTTTTGCTAGGTAAAAATCTATATACATCTCGAATGAAAGTTCACTCCTAATATCACCTTTATCATATGAAAAAATTTCATAAACTTGTCGGTTTTTTGCCGGTCTGGAATTATTTTTTAGACCGGCAGATCACCGGCCGGACCGGACCGGTCTAAAAATTTTCGACCGGTTACAACTCTGAGTCACATAATAAAACAAAACATTATTATTCTAAAGTAACACTGTTGGATCAAACACGATGAGATATGAAAACGAATAGTTAGAAAAAAAAGCCAAACAATTTGCCACTACTTCTATATTGAATACCGTTTCTTAGAAAACTTAAATAATCGCGTGAGTAAAAATCCAAATTATCAATAAAACAAAGAAAATAGTATCAAATCTACAACATACAGTTTGATTTTGTTTTATATTCTTATCAATTCAAAATAACATCAAAATTTTTCAATATAAATCGCTAACAGACTCTCTCTATCTTGTGTACATGTTAATTTTATTTTTCAAGATTCAACAAAAGAAAAATTAGGTACTAAGATTTGTAATTAATGTTGATCTCGTGATATTTCTATCTGGATTTTTGCGTAGAATTGTTTTTTCCTGTACATTTTTCTATTTGATTTTGTTATTTCTCAAGATGTAGTAAGAAACCAAAAACAAATGTTTCTTTGTATCTAAATTATATGAGAATGATCATCATCAACTATATAATATATTCTAACATATTGATAAAATTAATTGAAACAATCTGTAAGATTGTTAATATAAAATAAAAATTATTTTAGTGTACAACAAATCGTGTTTATCGAGTAATACAATGTCAAGAAAAAGAAGTAACTCAATTAATGTCATCATTAAGCGATGGTTGGAAATTTGAACAAGTAATTTATTTTAAAAAAAGAATGAGTGACATATATATAAATTGATTTGAAATTTTATTTAGTTAATTGGTCATTCACCTGTTGGTTCAAGTTATATGTATCCTGAAGGTGAATTTTTATGTATTGTTTCAAAACAATATGATCGAGGAACACGAGAAGATAATAATACTTCTGTATCTGAACGTGTTAAAGTAAAAATAAATAAATAATATGTAAAAGACAAAAAAATTTTATTTTTGCTTTATTCTAGATTTTACAAGAACGTGGTTCACGCATGTGATGTTTTTTCTTACTTCATTTTATCTCTCAATTATGAGAATGTTGTTGTCCGATATTCTCTCGCTTTTTTTTTCTTCTGTAAATATAGGATTTTTTAATTTGTGTGCACTAGCTAGTCATTCGTTTCTTCTTTTTTTTTTTTTTTTTTTTTGATATTCTCTTGCACTTATATTCTCAACGGACATATTACTTGATGAATCGGTATGAAATACACATGTACCCATCAATGGTTCTGTTTCTTTTTTTTAATGAATAATAATAATAATTTGCATAAAAAACAAAGAAAGTCACACATAGTTTTGTCTAATTGGTCAGAAGTAAGTTCAAGCCATCAAATAATCTACAATGTTAAGAATACATACGTCAGAAAGATGATAACAAAATTACAATATTTTTTGGTGGTTAATATTACAGTATATTAATTATTTTTTCTTCTTGCCGGTTGAATATGCAAAATAATATGGTTCCATGACGACAGAAAGTAAGGTGAAATGAAAAAAAAAAGAATTTTGTTTTTCTTTTTTTCTACTTGAATGGTATACATACATATATATAAATATAAATACGGAAATAATACTCTAATAGAGGACGCATAGGATATGACTTAAGGGGTTTCCTTTAGAAAATCTAATTTTTCGAAAAAATATTGAAGTTGACTTTTCATCATAGGAAGATGCAACGCAGCTTTCTCTTTCAGAATATATCTAATTGTTCGCAAAACGACTATATTTTCGCAGACGTATCCGAAGAAATTTCGACACTAGGATCATATTTTTGGAAAAATTTTCGTAGTTTTTTGTTAAAGTTTTTCTGTTTCGAGAAAACTATGTTGTCACTTGCATCAATATTGAATAGAAGATTCGAATGAAAAAAATCTATTTCCAAAACTTCTTTAGCGTTTTTCTGAAAACCTGATTTTCAAGCAGGAAAATTGAAATAACTCCCACCCGGCTCAGGGTATAACCGATGGGTATTTTTTGTTTTAAAGGTCTGAATGAGAGCTAACTTTTCATCGGATGGATTTTTCATAGTTGATTCCTGGAATGAGAAAAGTGGGATTTACTATCGAAAGAGTCACTTTTTTTGTGCTTATTTTGAACACCATGTTCACTAAAATGGTCATAAAAAATGAATAAAAGGGAGTTTCAAAATTCTGTTCCATGAAAAGTTGCGCACAGAGGCTAGCTTTAATTTGAAATCAACTTGAATCCTCTACCTTGTATAACGATGAAGTTATTTCGTTTCTCGTGGAAGCTATGAAAACAAGCCGAAAGTTCTGTCTAGTAGGATATATCAGGCTGAAATTTTTACTATAAGCATTTCTTACTAGAATCATTCATTCCTGTAATTTTCAACTCAAATGGATTGTTCTAAGTGGTAAATCGAGTCTGAGATGGGGCCTCTTAAATAACGAAATATTATCGACGATTGATGACGTGTTTTTTTGCGTTTCTCTATATGGGGCACGCTAAGCCTTTTTTCTCCTTTTCTTTTCAACTAAGAAAGAAAAACAATAAAGAGAATGCGACAGTCCAAATAAATGAGACTCGCTTTTTTCCGTCGACAGTTTACCAGAATAATTTCCCAATTTTTTGCGTTCTTTGTCATGACGACAGATGATTCAGAATAGAAGGAAAAAAAAAGAAAGAAAATTCGTGACTAATGATTTTATATTATATATATATAAAGAAAATAACACAGTATTATATTTTTAGAGCCAACCTGCTTTTTTTTTCAACTGAAAACGTTTGTTGCCCAACAGCGAACTACTTCACTAAATATACGAATACAATGACTGGCCATTTTTTTGAAGGAGCTGAAAAATTATTAGAAATTTGGTTTATTGCAAGTAACAATAATAATGATTTGGATAATGATACATTATCTAATGATTTACGTAACATACCACGGTAATTAGTTTAATTTGTAAAATATTTTGATTATAATTTAAGTGATACTTTGTTTTTTTTTGTAAAGGGAACTCATTGAAGAAGTATTAAATTTGGTTAATTGTAAAGTTCTTAAATATGCAAAATCGGCTACAACGGATACATATGTATTAAGTGAATCAAGCATGTTTGTATTTCAAACACATTTTGTTTTAAAAACATGCGGTGAAACAACATTACTTCATGCTGTTCAACCAATGTTAGAACTTGCACGAGATTATTGTGGATTTGATATTGTTGATGTAAGGAAAAAAAAAACACACAATTATTTATTTTTTTTCAAAAATAAAAAAATTATCTTTGATTTAATTTATTTTCTTTAGCAAATCTTCTATAGTCGTCGTAAATTTCTTCGACCTGAATTGCAAAAAACACCACATACAAGTTTCGAACATGAAGTATGTGACTAATAATTATGAAATTATTGTAATACAAAAAGCTTTATTTGTCTATGACTAGGTTGCTTATCTTGACTCAATATTCGAAGGTAAATAATGATTCATAATACCATTGTATAATTTTTCGATTTTTCGTTCAGGTGGTTGTGCTTATGTTCTTGGTCGTACGAATGTTGATTGTTGGTGAGTTCAACTAATTATTTGTTTAGTATAAACGTTAAAGAAGTACAAATGAGCTGATATTTGTTAAGAAAAATTAATGAAGAGAATTACTGTTGCCGCTTTCGTTTGTTCGTTGAAATTAAGATGCTTATTAAATTTATTGAAATTCTGTTGATGTAGGAAGTTTATTTAATTTTTGCGAAAATTGTTATCAATTAATTTTCGATGATTTTTGAAATATTAAAATATAAAGAATGTCAATCTATTCAAATTCCTGATACTCGTTATTTTACTAATGAAAAAGAATCTTAAAAATTTCTTTAACATTTGAATCTATGCATTGTATTCTTATTTTTGTATATTAAAGGTAAACAGATGATTTCATAACGCAAAATTTCATATTTTTCCCGTACTTTTTTGAAATTTTTTTTCTGAATTCAATATCCAAATACCTTTTCGCTATGTAATAAGGAGTAGTATTAAATATCGTATACTATTTAGACATGATACTGTAAAAATTTCTAAAGTATATTATCTGTGATGGAAATAATCATTGAATGTTTGTTTCTGTTGTTTAGGTATTTATATACACTTGATAAGACCAGTGTTAGTACAAAATCAGATCAAACATTAGAAGTCATTATGACTGAATTAGATCCGGAAAAGATGAAAATTTTCTATCAAGAATATACAAGTTCAGCTAGTGAAGCAACAAAAGTACGTCAACTTTTTTATTGAAATATTTTACATTGGTGTTTTTTTTTTAGAAAGCTGGCATTGATAAATTATTTCCAAATGCTAAAATTTTTGATTATTTATTTGATCCTTGTGGTTATTCAATGAATGGTTTATTACCCAATGGGCATTATTTTACAATTCATATAACACCAGAACCTGATTTTTCATATGTTAGCTTTGAAACAAATGTTCCATATGATCAATATCAAGAAATAATTCGTAAAATTTTGAAAATTTTTAATCCAGGCAAATTTACAACAACAATTTTTGGTGACACGGTAAGGAAAAAAATTCTTGTTTTTTTTGTTTTTTCTCAACTATTTATTAATAAACTACCTATTTTAATAGGCAGCAATAAGTCTTGATCGTCAACGTAAATTATTTTTATATTCTGATTATGGTCGTATTGATCATCAAGTTGTTTGCTTGGTTGATTATGATCTTTTTTATAGTTATTATAAAAAACATCCAAGCTGAGGATTATGCAACACCGTCTGCGTGTGTCGAAAAACATTAAACGACATGCACGCAAGACAGAGTGTTGCATATAAAAGTTTCAAAACAAAAAGAACAATGAAAATGATTTATTCAAACACTTTTATACAATGGCCAATATTGAATCAAATATTTTTCGAAGAGATTCTTGTTAAATTAAGGTTAACATCAAAGAAATATATTAAGAAATTGAAATATGCATTACATCATAATACAAAGAAGTATAGATAATATTTATTCAAAATTATGGCTTATGTAGATTTGTGTTTTTATTAATTCTTTTTTTCATTATTCTTTTTTTTTTTTTTTTTTGATGATGTATAACAACATGCATCAAAGCAACATTGAATAAGAAGAAAATAAATAATTAAATAGATATGTTAACTAGTTTGTTTATTTATTTATTTTTTTTAAGAAGATAAAAGCAAAGCTAATACAAGAAAGAAATGTTTATTGGATTATTTTATCTTTGGAGAATTTTATTTTAACTTTCAACTTGATGAAAACTATGTGCTCGTCGTTCTAGTATTAGTAAAATAAAAATAAAAAAAGAAGAGAGATATAAAATAATAATAATAAAACATTCTTTTTTGACTTACTTCTGCCAGCCGACATATCTAAACGACAGAGGATAATACCAAATATCAAGACAATTAATAAACAACTACAGCCAGCTATTAATAGTCGTGATGCTTTGTCAAAACCTAATAAAATAAAAGAAATTAATAGAATTTTGTAAGTATTAATTGAAAATGAAAAGATTTTGATCAAAACTCGAGAAAATGGTAGAAATTTGAAAGCAGGAAGTTGGTTATCGAATCTGATTACTGGATTTCGATCATTTTCATGAGTTTTCTGGTGAGAATCTGTCGGAGTCATTGATCTGGGATAATATGAAGAAATCAATTTCTTCTGAGACTAAATTAAATGAGATGTTGTCGGAAAATTAAATTTATTAAAAACTCATTATTTAAGAACAAAGAAAACGAATTTCGATTTTTAATCAATAGAAAGACATTGTGATGAAGGATTTACATGTATCATTAAAGAATTCTCTTCAATAAAACGTAATACTTTATATTAGAAAGTTTGATGGAAAAATATAATCACTTCATCAATAAAAGTTTGTTAGCGCAACTTCTTTGAAGTTGAAATGTGGAACTCACATATATCCTTAAATCTTAATATTCTAATGCATCATATGTAAACTGAAAAATTTCGTGTACACCGTAGTTGTTCTCATTGATAATCAATGACAAGAGCGAGACTTTGTTATTTATATCTACATTTAAAACAGATAATTTTTTTTTTGTTTGAGAACGCCCTATTTTTAATTTGCATTGTTGCTATTCGCTCATTATCTTTCATTTTTTTTGTATTTTAAATCGTTTTTCATAGCTCAACATTCTTAATATTATAATCATTGAATTAATTGGCAAATAAATCTGTTTTATATATATCCATGATATCTACAGAGATCTTGAGTACTATTATATATATATTAATCAGCTCACAAACAACGATGCTGATTATCTTTCAAAATTATAACTTCATCAATTCTTAAAAAAAACTAGAAAGTCTGACGCGTTATTCTTAATTGCTAAGGTTTGTAATGGAGGGATGCCTGTATTGGAGACCTGACTGTAATTGAGGGGTGTCTGTAATGGAGTCTTACGTTACTATGTGCCAGTAAGGGGAGGAAGTCTGGTGGGGAGCTGCAAAACCTTGACCTTAAAACTTGCACTCACTATTTTCTTCGAAAATATATGTGAGTTTCACAAAAGAATGGATACCGATTTCATTTGCAGTTTGATTTATTCTGTTAGACAAAAAAATTTTGATTATCTGCTCAGAACTGATATTAAATAAATACTTTTATATGGTACGGTCAATCTGACTCCAATTTTCTTCTTCTTATGAGTACTTCAATCATATAGAAGTGCATGTTTTTATTTTCACTTGAATATGTTTGATCTACAAAGTTTCGTAGATTTTACAAAATCAGCATTATTCAAAAAAAGAAAGAGCATTTTGTTGAGAGTAACTCAAGTACTTAGACTATCTTTGAGCTTTATGAACAATACTTTTCAAAATAAAAAACATTCACATTCAGATTTCACTCTAGTGGCCATAACAAATAATTTTCAACTCTGAAAAACGTAGTATGAATTCAGTATTACATCGGAAGTAGATTGCAACGATTTTGTGAAACTCGACCTATCGAAAATCGATCACGTTCAATGCCTGAATAGGATCACAATGTTAAATTGATGATGTTTTTTTCGAACTTGTTTGAAACAAATGATTCACTCGAATTGAACTATGAGTGTAACTATTTTGATTTAATCACGACAGACACGGACATTCTATCTTAAATTGATCGAATAAAATTTTAATGAAGATAAGGTCAAACTATAAAAAAGATACAAATTTCTTAATTTGATCTTTTGTCAAATAGTACTTTGCTATCAACTAGAATCCATATAAAATAGTTATAACTCTGGAAAAAGGATCACTGGGCACTGGCGGATCCACCATTTCGGCTATTCGGCGATCGCCACCCCGTGGAAATAGAAGTGACCCCAAAAATTTTTTAAATATTTGGGTAACAGTAAAAAGTCGAAAATAAAATCGGTAAATGAAGTTAGTGGAGCAAGCACGAGGAAGACTAGGGGGACCTGAGCCACCTTCCCAGGATTGTTTGAGCCTTCCCTAGAAATTTTTTAGTTCTCATGAAAAGTAGAATTGTTTTTTGTTTGGGAGGCTATTCTGAGCAGAGTGAGCAAGACACTTAAGTTCATCCTATGCAATATCCGATATTTTTCTTTGATAAAATGAAAGAACAATATTAATTTTTCAAACTAACGGAGATATCGATTAACTTCTCTGATGAAAAAAATTATTTACTCATTTCTGATTATGAAAAGTTTCCGATCTGGTCATTGTAGTCTCAATATATTTTCATGAGAGAGATAGAGAAATCTTTGTGTTATATTCAAATTATTGATCTGATCGACAATGAATCTGTTTTCAATAAGTTTCATTTGGAATTTCTCATTACGACTTTTAGTAACGGGCCGAAGCATGGTTGTCTACATTGCCATTGTGTATAGAAGGATATTGAACTGGATATATTTTTTAAGTAATTCGTTCGTCCAAAATACTCTCGTAAATTACCTTATACAGACTACCGAAAATTCTTGTTCCACCCTTATGGGTCTCGTGCTAGAAAAACAAGTTCAGATTTTCCCTCTGGAAAATCATTTATTGAGAAATTTGGAGCAGCTGCCTAATTCGACTTATAATATAAATGAAGATCGAGAAAAAAACACAGCACTCATGTTAGCAAAAGAATAAAACTTTTTCTTCGTCACTTATCGTTAATTATAAAACATAAATCATGGAGGCTTTACTGTAAAGCTAGGCAAAAAATTTTACTTTTTTAGCTATTTATTATTTATGACAAAAGCTATAAATAGTGATGACTTTACTGTAAAGTTAGGCAAAATTTTTTACTTTTTTCGCCGTTTATCATTTGTTATAAAAGCTATAAATGATGAAGACTTTACTGTAAAGTTAGGCAGAAATTTTTACTTTTTTTTGCCATTTATCATAAACGTGATAAATGGTGATGACTTTACTGTAAAGTTAGGGAAAAAATTTTATTTTTTTTTGCCATTTATCATTTATTGTAAAAGCTATAAATGTCGATGACTTTACTGTAAAGTTAGGGAAAAAGTTTTACTTTTTATGCCATTCATCATTTCTGATAACAGCTATAAATCATGAAGACTTTGCTGTAAAGTCTGCATCACTTATAGCTTTTATCATAAATGATAAATGACAAATGGCAAAAAAAGTAAAAATTTTTGCCTAACTTTATAGTAAAGTCTTCATCATATATAGCTGTTATCAGAAATGATAAATGGCAAAAAAAGCAAAATTTTTGCCTAACTTTACAGCAAAGTCTTCATTATTTATAGCTTTTATAATAATTTATCTAAATGGATGCATGTATATTTTATTTTTTTTTAGTTATTTTCGAAATGATTAAGCACTTCTGAGAGTGTATTTATATTATAATTCGTATTAGGCATCTCATGCAGATAGGTCAGAGCCTTAGTTCCTTTTTTGCGAAAAAAAATGAAAAATATTTAGCACTAGTTTTGTTCACTTTTTAAAAACGTTCGGGACTGAGCCTCTCTAGCTTAAAATTCTGGTTACACCGCTAAATTTACAAAGTGTCACCCTCTCTCGAAAATCCTGGATCCGCCACTGTCACTGGGCCCAAACTCTTAGATTCTTTCTAATCTCGAAGGTATCTATTTTTATTGATTATACAGAATATCAATTTGTAAAACAGTCTGGATGATTGCCTCGTCATGTATTAACAATCAATACAAAAAACAAGTAGTTTTCATCTTAATAAACAGTAAAAAAAAATATTTTTTTTCTATTTCTGCCATATCAAATCAATTTGCATGAATAAAACAAAAACAAAAGTTTGTCAAGGACGTTCTTCATTCTATTTAAATACGCGATTTAATATGACTTACCAATTATTTCATCCGATGGATGAAATGAATGCTCATGAGAACGCATCGATGCCATATCAACTGTATTGCTCATTTGTTTTTCTGTATATTCGATATATTGAGGGTTTGTGTTATCAGTTCGGGTATATAAAAAAAAAAAATCCGTTCGCCAACTGGATGATATTAATATGAGAGACGCGTTTACAAATACATAGGTGCGTCACTTCTCGTTTTTTTTTGGTCTTTTTTCTCTCTCTCTCTCTTTCGTTTATTGACTTTAGGCTCTTTCCATTCTCTATTTTCAGTGCCTAGTACTCTTTTTTTTAAGTAGTTGACTACACATTTGAGGCAAGATGAATATACTCCTCAGTTGATTCTTTCTTTCCTTGTAAAACTAAAAAATAACCAAAAAAAGAAAAGGGCACTGCATATACATTGACGAAAGGATGAAAATACTGAATAATAACAGTCGTAATCAATGATAAAAGAAAAAGATATGGTCGTAAAAAACGAACATTTATTTTCTTTTTAATGGTTTTTTATGCCTTTGAATATAAATGCATTGCGACGTTTCAAAAAAAGAAAATTGAGTTTATCACGTATTGCAACAATATTAACTAATATGTTCTTACAAGCTGAAACTATTGAAAAAAAAAGTGTAAAAGATTTTTTTACTAATGTAAAAGCAAACTGTTAGAAATCAGATTAGAATCAATTTTTGTACGTAAAATAATCGCGAAAAATCAATTAAATATGGCATTTTTTGATTAGAATCAAAAGATTGAAAAAGCGAATAATTATCTAATCGATTTAATTCGATTTCATATTTAATTTGATAAAATCGACTATTTAGATGTAAAGTCTATTAAAATAAATTTTTTATCGTCAAAAATCTGAATAATTGATTAGTCATGATTTTCAGAAATCAATGAAAAAACTCTTGAACCATTTTCATAGATTAAAACTGACTAATAGAAATATATGAAACTTTTTGTTAAAACAAAAAATAATCTGAATGTAAATCTATTCAATCACTACCGTTCAAATCGAGTTTAATCCGATTTATTAAAATTTTTCTTTTTACATTCGTACTATTCATTTATTGTCAAGCGTAAAATTCATTTTACCGTTTTTTTTTTTTATATAGTCTATTGTGCGGTGTAGCATTAACTATCCATCAACATTATATTACTTGTTCTGAGTGTATCCTTGAGGAAGCATTAAAAAATACGGTCGATTATTAATGATTCATTTCGTCAATAATCAATTTAAATTTTGCTTTAGTTATATTAACAAATTAAAATATTTATTTTTTTTGTGATTCAAAATCTGATGAAATCAATTGTTTTCAGCCTTATTTTTACATGGATAGAAGAGCGTATAATGAGATCATTGGTGTATAACCTTCAAGATTCTAATATATTGATTTAATTCATGGTCATTGATGATGGCTCGAATTTCATATTGTTCGTGACAGACATTAGAAAAATTCTTGAAGAAAAAAAAGAGAAAGAATGTGTTGTTTTTTTTTTTATGGAATGTGTGTAAAAGTTATTATCAAAGTATCATATAAAATAGAACGCAATTAAAATTATCGAATCCAGTACTTAATAGAAGACAAAAACATGCTTTAAGAAAACAGTCGAAATGTTAAAATGAAAAATAATCCATTTCTAATTATTATTAATATTGTTTTGATACTATTTACATATTACAGCTAATAATCAATAATGTCTTTGAACTGAAAAATCAGTTGAAATTTCTAAAAGTAACTGTCTTGTTAGAAAATATTTCTTTGCTAAAAGTAGATATCGATAATTCTGGATAGTTCAAAAAAATAAATAAATAAAATTAATTTCGATTCGATTCTTAATCATGACTTTATTTAACTTCTGTAAATTCAATCCGAATATAACTATGTTTTTAGTAATTGTATGATCTTTATTATCGATGATAATCATCTCGTCACATGATTTCTAATCTTGTATGAATGTAATGTGAAATATAAGATAAAATTAGATATTATACAGAGTAGATTCTCGTTAAAAGTTCAATATTGTCAAACGTATACCTCTATACAGGTATCAACAAAAATGTTGAATCTAATTTTATGAAAAGTGTGAACACATAATTCATACAGTACTAATACCAATAATACATTTTAAAGTACTTACTTTCTTTCGAAAAGAAAATATTTGCAAGATAAGACATCAAAATAAAAAAAGACTCTTGTTGCTAGATTTCATCTTATACTTCTAAACGGTTTCAATATAATCCATTTCAATATCTATTGATAAAAGCATACAAAAAAGTCACATATATTTTATGTATTCAAATATATTTTGATATTTTGGTTTCGAAAAGTTACTTATGACATGAAATGAATGATTGCATTCTATTCAAGTTCATGACGAAAAAAAATCAATTGTCTAATTACCTTTCAGAATGAAGAACTTGACAATACAAAATTTCATCTTACAATAGTTCAAAAAAGACACGGTAACGAATTAAATGTCTTATGGCTCTATTCAAACAATTTCTAATATATTGAAACTGATTATTAATCAAAAATTATATTGACTGTGGTCAATTCCAATGATAAATTTTTTTTTTTGGAAAAATACCAATTCATTCCTTAAATAATGCATAGGTTTTTATATTTCAAGTCAATCAATCAATCTATCTTTCTTTATTGCTCATGTTTAAGTCTCAAAAATATCTTTAAGATAAGGTAGTTGGCAAAAAAAGATGTTTAAAAATGTTTTTCTTTTAATTTTACTGAGTGCTTTGAGTAAAGACGAGTTTTTCTGTTTTAGCTTACGCTAGAATACTGAGATTATGGTGTTTTTTAGAAGTTAATGTCACGAAAAGTTTCTCCAACTCTTTCTAGAAATTTGATTTTAATCCATTGAACTCTACGCCCTAGTGCAGCTTGCCTGTTAAGAAACGTGTAGGTTGTACGATTCAGTTACTTGTTGTGCATTTAGTTTGCGGGTGTGGGTAGGTTGTTGGCGTTTCCTGAATTATATTTACACCAAACATTATTCTAAATCTAAAGCAAGAAAGATCTTTTGAAGATGGAAATTTATGTCTCCATAAATTCTAAGCAAGTCAAGAATATTTTCTATACATATTAAATAATAATTAATAACAATGATTAGTAAAAATAAACTACAATTAGAATTTTTTTACTGAAGAAAAATTATTTTATTTTTAAAAACTTTTATTTTATTCGACTAATTCAATTGATTTTTTTCATGGACTGTGCAAAGAGGCAAGGTCGCATTCAAATTTCTATCTCTCTATTTCAACGCTCCTTTTAGGTCGTGTTTCGTAATTTTATTCAACATAAACATTTCTAAAATCATGAACTGAGAAGATTCTTTTAGTTTATGATTCATCGGTTAAAAGTTTGGAAGTTATTTGGACTAACAAGATTCATTAAAGATTTTCTCTCGAAATCTTCTTTCCAATGTTCTTGATCCACTTGGATCTCTTTGAATATTTTTGCTCTCTATTGTTATGATCTTTTGTTTTTAAGGAATATCTTACTGTCATTCAAATATTTTTTATAGAAATTTAGTTAGTAGAATTTAAGATTATTAAATTTTTTGTATTTATATAATTTTCAACCTTGAGATTATCTATACAATTTTAATTGTCACGTATGAAACTTAATAAAAATTTATTTTAATCTCCATTTAACAAAGGAATGATACTAGTCTAACTTATTCAAATACATTGAGAATATGAAATTTAGAAAGATACGATCCTTGAGTTATATCAAACAAGCTTTATGGTCTTGTTTTTTTTTTTAATAATAATAAAATGCATAGAAAAACTGAACATGAAAACAATTCTCATTTCTTCTTAACTCAAATGTTATACAGTATGATTAGCATTCAATGATCTTTGTTTTACAAATTCAAGTAAAAGATAATAAGCAGCTGTAAATTAATTGTTCAATATCTGTCAATCGCATTTCATTTTATATTGTTTCTTGACTTTTAATTAATCGCTGAAATTGATTATATTTAATAACTAAATCTATTACATGTGCCGCTAAATGACTATTTATTTTTTTTCATTACATTCGTATTTAATGATGAAGAAATTAAGTCAATAGCTATGCGATGTATAGTCATTGCTGGACGTTGAAGTGATAATAGTCTAAATAAACTTGTGCATATAAAATTTTCATACACTATTTATACAATAAGTACAATCATCAATGGATTTTGAAGACGTTTTTCTTGTTCAAGAAGTATAACAAATGTTAAAGATGTACCTAACTTTATTTTTTAATTCTGAATACACATACGAATCAGAATGGAATACATGTGTTTATATAGATATCGACAATAAGGAAAAAAAACAAGGTGAAAGAAAAGAAAGGGAGATATAATAAGGATATCGTTTGATCTTGTATATTAGCATAGATCATAATAGAGAGATAAAACTTTAAAATGTTGCTTTATTCCAACCCATCATATTTCCAGTTACATTTGTAAATTTCAAATACATTCGATCTGCTGAAATATTAAGTTTTTCTTCGAAAAGACTCATAATTTCGTTACTAATTTTAGCTGTTTGATTCGTTGATAATCCGATTGATGTAAGTTCCATAACTGCAGCTGGATCATTTGTACCGCCAAAGAATAATTTTTGACCCGATGAAATATGAACAGCAACATATCCTTCAGGTTTGCTTAGCACTTGTGCTACTTTTGCACTAAGTTGTTTAAGAAAATCATTTGTTATTTCATTGTCAGCTACATTTGTTTGTACTGCTAAAACTGGCATCCTTCTATAAAGGCGATGTATTGAAATTCAATGAAATAAAAGTATGTTGTAGGTTTGATTGGTTAATTTATCTAAAACAATAAATCATGTAGTCTTTACAAAATCAAGTTAAAGAATTTATACCATAGAAAAAATGAACAAAATATATGAACCCAAACAATATGAGTTACTTCACAAAGAAAAAAAATGAAATGTACCAATAAAATTCTAGTCGTTACTTTACCGTACTCGATCAATTTTTGTCCTCTCCTTTGATTGGCAACTAAACCAAATGAGTTATAATGAAATTGG